ATGAATCAGTATCACCTTCAATGAAATGAAAACGATTAACATTCATGCATTTATACATAAAATCATAAATGAAAACTAAATACCAGTATTTTGCGTTATCTAAAGTAAAAAATGCCTCTTGTAAACATGTATCACATCTATAAAATCTATCTTTAAGCATCACTTGATATGTATCTTCACCTATTTCTCTTATGTTTTTAAACTTATTTGACATACATGCAACGCGTGCCTTCTGTGCATTCATTATTTTAGTCTTTGCGTAATTTTGTGTATTCATTGCATCGTAACCATATGATCCATTAAGTGAAATCTTGCAAAATAAACTTTTTCTTTTATTTCCTTCTAATTCAGCCTTTTGTCTTTCGTTCATAAATTTGTTCGCAAATTCATTAAAACAAGTGTTTTTAGTAAATGTTAAAATTGATTGAATGTCATCAATGATAAAATGAAATCTGTCTATTAGATACCAAAGATAATAAGAAGAAAATGGTTGATATTGATTGTATGTTGATGCTAACTGAGTTAATTTCCCCTGTTTCTGGTCAACCGGTAGATTGTTTGATTTCATGTAATTATACATAAAACTGCCAATTGTTTTTTCATCTGTGATAATATCTAAGTTTCTTATTATCGGTAAAAAGTTTATGTAATCATTAATGTATTTTTCATCAATGTGACCCTTTACTTCAGCCACGAATAAAGTATTTTTCTTCTTAATTATTCCCAGTGCTTTTGCTTTCTTTGTTGCTGTATCACAAATGATAACACCATTCAATCTTCCCGGCATATACATTTTATGGTCAGTATATTGAATGAAATCATGAGGATTAGATGAAAATGATGAAGGATATAATGAATTAAAATCAACACCAACGAAATGAGTCATGATGTTGGAAGTGTCCTCATTTGATACAGTTTTAGTTTCTGGACTATATGAAAGTTTATTAATGTGCGTGATTCCTTTAAGATTTACTCTATGTTGAACATTTGATAAACCACCAGTAATTCCATTACGGAGAATGTGATAAGCTTCAACTGAATCTAAAGTCATTGGTAAATTATTTTTTAATGCATAATTTCTTAAATTGATTCTTAAACGTTGAACATCTTCATCTTTATTTGATTTTACGACATTGCAATAACAACACATTAACCAACAATTTTCTTTGGTATGTGGTTTTTCATTATCGATGCTATCCAATGTTGGTTTATTTGCATATGTAAACGCTTTACCACACATTTTGCATTTAGATGAAAGGATTAAATCGTGATAGTATTGAAAATCATCCATTGAAACATTATTTTTAGTATCTCTTTCTGCTTTTTCATCTTGTTTCTTATATGATTCAATTTTATATTTCCAATACTTTTTCGTTAATTCAAAACTTGATTCTATCTCCTCCTCAGGATATTTTTCATTAGGATTAAAGTCTTTATATGCTAAAGCGTAACGAATCATTGAAGCATTCGATGATAAAGAAAGATTATGAAGCGTGTCAATTTTATAAACAAATGTTTCTTCAATAATTTTATCAATTGGGTCAATCATAATTTCAACATCTTTATTACAATAATGAATAAAATATTCTAATCTATTCTTAAAGTTTTTAGCATCATTGAGATATATTTGATAATCACTATCTGATATAGTTTCTTGAGTTAATGCTGAATAAAATGAATCTTGAGTGAATGGTTCCACTTTATATAATTCTTCTTCGTAATTTTCCCACGTGATGAATTGATAAGGGAAAAAGGATTTAACACGTGATTTATTGTTTCCGAAATCTTGAGTGAATTGGTCTAATGTCCCACCCGCTATATAATTTCTGATGTCAATAAATCTCAATTCATATGGAACGTTTGTTTTCTTTACAATGATTTGCTTAAATTGTGAAGATGAACCCAGCATTGATTTTATTTTCCATTTTGCAGTGTTTAAATCACGAAGAATTAAATTTAAATCAAACTTTCCCGAATTAAAACCTATGATATTCACTTTATTGAATTCCTCATCTAGAAGTTCTTTAAATGCTTCCTTCTGTTTTTCATTTAATGTATGGGACAAAGTCCCCGCCGTTTGCGGCTTCATTAATTCTTCATATTGTTCAATATTTGATTCAACAACTAATGAACATGTTGAAAATAAAAACTCAATCCAATCAGAAATAAAAGAATCACTCGAAGTTAAGCAAAAATTCCTCGTATATATTTTATCATTTAATTTAACCGTTGATGATACCATGAATGGTTTTAAGTAAGCGTTCAAAGTTGCACACTCAGAAAGTTGTAATTCTTCTTTAGTCTCTAATGTTTCAAAGTCAAAAGTAATATAATATCTTGTCGGTTTATAATATTTCTGCAAATTGTGAGCTAATAACCACTGATATATCTTCTGTTTCGTAATATGTGGTGCATATGGTTGCTGGGTCTTTTGCAATTGAACGTCTTGAATTAATCTTCCATTATTTTCTTTACATTTCTCACAATGCTTTAAAAATCTTCTTTGGTTTTTCCTTTCTGGATCATCACGGATAGAATAAACTTCTTCTTTACAATATGGACAAACTTTATAGCCGGTGAGTGCTTCAACGTCTGTTATTCTGTCAGCGTGAAGTTTTCCACATGGACTCTGTGTTAATAAAATATTTACTGTTTCAAATTCTGGATCTATCATTATTGATTCCACTAATGGAAAGTCTACCTTATTTATGTCCACGTCTTCTGGTTGAGGATCACAATAATAGAAATCAATATTAACATTTAACATTCTCGCTAATCTCTCACTTTCTGATGAAATGTCAAACCCTTCATATGCATCTATTGCTTCATTTAAATAGCTTCTACGAGTTTTAGGATTAACACCATCAGGAATGTTATAGAAGCGTTTAAATAACCTTCTACCTTCTGCTCTAATTTGATTATCATTCATTTTAGCTGTTCCGTTTTTGTTCATTTTATGTAAGAATAAAAAATTACAAAAATAAATAAAAATAAAGTTTATTTTTTAAAGCCCATAAAATGAATTAAGAACACATAAATTTTTATCATCTGCGACGTGACGAATACATTTTAATTTACTCAAGAATGCGTACCCTGATACATTAAATCTAATTCCTGTCTTATTTAATTTCACAACTTTGAAAAGGAATGTATGAATAGCTATAAAATGATGAGAAGATGTTTTATGGGTTGCTTCCATTTTTTCTGAAATAAATGAATAAATATAATGTTTATAAGTTTTCATATCTTTTATGTTCTTAATAACGAATGGTATAGACCTTTCAACTTCGTCTTCCTTCGGTGCTGTTCTTTCATATGAAACATTATTGGTATCTTCAATAATGAAACCACAATCACACAAAATTTTATAGGTTCCAATGGTTTCTTTTGATATTTTATCTAATAAATCAAAAACTTTATCAACACCTGTGCATTTATTTAAATAATAATTTGTGTAAATATCATGATCTTCTTTCTTAATCGTATTAGTTGCATATGTCACGTTTTTAAGAGCTTTTTTGAATTTTTCGGAATCTAAAGGTGGTGAAAATAAGATACAGGGGTATTCTTCATTATCAATAAATTGTAACTTATGTTTACGAATAAATTTAGTACCTTCTTCTGAAAGTGTTTCGTCTATTTCACCATCTAATAAATTTTGTGTTGATTCTGAGACATAATTTTTATATCTTTCTTCATGAGATTTCTGAACTTCTGATTCTGAAGCTGGGATATTCATTAAACCCTCTACTTCATTTTCATTATATTTTTCAACTTCTCTTAATTCCTTAATTCTTTCATCTATTTCATCTCTTATTTTTTTCAGTCTTTCAATTTCATTGTATTCATCATCTTTAATCCGTTCTTCATAATATTCGGGGAAAACATCAGGTTCTTTAGGTTTTTCTTCTTCAGATGTGGGATATAAGAAATTTATAACATCATCTTTATTCATTTTTCCATCATAATCTAAATCATTTAATAACTCGGCAAATTTTTGACAATTTCTTAAATAATATTTATTAACTTCATAACCCACCTCCTCTAATATATCCTTTATTTCCTCGTTTGTGAATCCTAATTTTTTAACGTTGTTAGTTTTGACGCTCATTTCATACAAAATAAAAAAATAAAATAATAAACATAACTAAGTTTTAATTTTTCGTAAGACATGACTGAAATAAAAATTTTTTCATCTGTTGAAGAATTTAATGACTATTATGCTAATAATAAAAAATTATTTGAAGAATTGACAACATGTAAATTGAATAAAATGTTTAAAGTTGATGGATTCAAAATTTCAAAAATAAAAGGAGTGGTTAGTTTGAAATCTATTCCTCAATCAAGAATCACCTCATTAATGAAAATAGATGATTTAACAAAAAGAATAGAAGAGATTGAAGAAAGAATGAATCAAATAATTGATTTCATAAATTCAAATAATCATTAGTTTCTTAAAGTTCAATGTTGAACTCATCAAATTCATCTTCATCATTACCATTACCTTTAGCGAGTTTATTTTTTATTTCAACTTTATCTTTTGATAGTCTTGCGTTTAATTTTTTCTGAAGTTTTTCGTTACCAAGTTCTAAAATTTTACATGGATGATATTTAAACCCATTCAGGATTTAAACAATGTTTAATTAATCGCGGAATATCTGACATCATCTATATATAGCTTCTTTTATAAAAGATAAAAAAATAAATTATTTTAAAATTAATGTTAATTTTTTAATGTGTTTAGTATATAAATATTTTAATGTATCGTCTATATATAGATGTAACAAAAAAAGTCACACAACCCTTCATATCATACTACTATAATTTTACATTAAAATTTACAAAATTGGAGAAGCTTATATTTTGGAATTTGGAGATCCCAGCCGTTATTTCTCCAAACGAGATCCTTAGTCATTCAGCATCCATCATGCTAGGTGAGTATTGATTGAGTGAATTTTTGGTTTGGGACGATATGTAAATTTTGGTCCGCCCTTTGAAAAATGACTACACTTGATGTCGATATTCTTCATCCATCTGTTGAGCAGGAAGCTCACAAAAACAAGAAGATGACACTTGTTCCAAACCCACGTTCTGAGTTCCTCTCACTTCGCTGCCCATCATGCACAGGCCTCACAACTGCATTCTCCCACTCAAACGTCCCTGTTTTCTGCAAGAACTGCCAGACTCCACTTGCAACACCAACTGGTGGCCGCATTCTTCTTGCTGATCAAGTTGAAATTCGTCCAAGAGTTAATGCTTAAAGATTTTAGAAAAAAAAATATCGATTTATGGCTTTTACAAAAGCAATTTACTAGAAAAAGATGATGTAGAATGTACTTATTGTAAAAAAATCATTTCTACTAATTGCTTTTTTATTATTTTTATTTTTATTTTTATTTTTATTTTTATATTCTTATTTTATAAATATATTAATGAAAATCCTCTGAATTTATTGGATTTGATTCAACAACAGTTACTGCCGGTGATTTTGAATGGGTATTCGATAAGTGTTGCAATATTCAGGCTACTGTTACTAAAAAAGGTTGAATCATCGTATTGTGAAGTACTGGCTTAGAGTCAGTACCTCACAGGCTGATGTTCCTCTTATAAAGTTCAAAATTTTGAGTTAATCATTTGAAATTAACTCAAAGTTTTGGAAACTTATTGCGAGAATGAAATAGTAATAGGAAAATAGTTATAGTATGTATCCCTTAGCATTTCATTCTAAGTTGAAATATGATAAGTTATTCAGACAAAGTTTCTCACACTTCTATGGAGAATAGGAAGCCATGAGACACAATGTCGCTTCAAAAAAATTTATGTTATAAGTCCCATTCAAATCTCATTATCTAAACCCTTAAAAAAGCTTGTTTTGAGTGTGATAATGATTTCGAACTCAGCAAACCATTTGTGTATTTCTCATTATGTAAAGAAATACTCCTTATAAAATGATAGGAAAAAGGTGGAATTTTTATATAAAAGTGACAACTGTTCTCAATGAATGAATTATAAATTTAATGCAGAAAGTTCAAAAAATGGCATTCATGATAATAAAAAAATTGATAACCAAGAAAGCTCAAATGAAAAGGAACCTGTAGATAGTGAATTTCTTCAAAATTTGATTGAAAAAATTTCATCATGATTTAGATGAAGGAAATCCAGAAGAATCAATTCAAAATTTTGCAAATCTGATAGAGATAACTCATAATTTCCTTATCGAAAAAGATAAAAGAAATACAAATTTTATCGAAGATTTAATTGACTTTTAAATGATGTTTGATGACAACAGAGATATTGTAAATGATGTGTTAATACTAATTTAGAATCTTCTTACTCAAGATATTTTGATAATCGATAATTTTGTTAAAAATTCGGGATTAGAACCATTAATATGACGATAACATTGCATTGCAATGTTTGATTATTATTAAAATTGTATTGGTAAGCAAAAAAGCCCAAATTATTTTAGATACAACACAATTTCCAGATTTAATTGATAATTTACTCCAAAAATTCGATAGACATGAGATACTTATAGAGTCTGCATCGATTATAGACGTTTCTATTGCACATTTACAAAAAATGAAAATTTAATTTTTCATTTTAGGTCTGAAACAAAGGTAGGTCAACAAAAAATACGTTATTTCGCAAGGAAAAAAATTCTCATGAACAACTTCAAGCGGATTTTTCTCAGTAATAAAACTCCAAACTTCTCTTAATTGTGGAGAGAAATTGAAGTTTTCTTCATGCATAGTAATTTATTACTTTGTATTTACATTAATTTCAGAAACAGTGTTGACATATATGCAATTTAAAATCGATGTCATTTATACTTAGCAAGAATATATCCAATCGTTCTATTCTTTCAAAATATAAAGCTCTACAATGGAAATTGTATAGCTTAAAATTTAATAATCTGCCCCGATACTTTGAACGATGAAAATCGTAAGCCACTGCAATAAGATTAATCTTCAATTGTTGTATATATTAATATCTTACTCTCATAAAAATCTGCAAGACCGTTTTCGCGAAAAAGTCATTTTACATACATGCGTTACTTAGTTAGGCGATTGTTCTAACCTCAACCATAAAAATAATGCAAAATACTGAAAGTCTAGATATAATTAATAGACTCTAAATATTGCAGCTGCGCTTAAAACAAGAATTAACAAATTTGTCGATATTCACTCAACAAATTGAAATTTCATCAATAAAGCAAAAACAAAATGAGTTACAAACGGGGGCATGACGAATTTATCTACTAAAAATAAATTTATAACTAATATACAGCAAAAATTCTCGATTAATCCCCGAATTGCAACAAATAACTTGAAGATGTTGTTTTACGTTGCTTACAAAAGCAAACTACATAAAGTTTTTGAAATAGAACCTTTTAAATACGCTCAAATAAAAATATATACTAATACCTTTTCTCTTTTTTTAAATAAATATATTCTCATTCATTCCCTAAAACAAACCATTATATGAATATCATGAAATATGTCATTAAAAATAAATTATAATAATAATCCAAAATATTCATATCAGATATGAGAAAAAAAGACATATTTTAGAACAAGCATCAAAAATAAATAATGTTTGTAATTCCAAAATTTTTTCATTTTGCAAATTTTCATGGAAAATTCGTATTTCTTTTCTCCATTTTCAAATTTTTGAATTTTTTTTGGAATTTTAAATGAAGAATTGAGAAACCTAATATAGATGGTTGTTATCTCATATGTGAATATGTTCGTTTTATTTCACAGTTTGGAATTTTCTCATATTTTATGGTGAAATTGAGTTTCTATCACAAGTTTAGATAGCATATTTAAGGACATATTACATGAATTTATATTTTCATCAATATGGTATATTGAAATAGGAGACGCTCAATATTACAATGTCTTTCTTAGAATTCCAAATGTATTCAAATTTCCTGAAACTACAATTTCTGTAGTTACTAGCCACATATAGGATGCAATACTCAAATGTCTAGTAGAGAGTATATCATTTTATCTCGCAAAATGAGTATCTTAGGAAAAATTCTAGATACTTTTTCAAAACATACAACAATGCAAGATCTATTCTGTAAAACCGATCAACAGTACAAATATGCTTATTTGCAGGTCAAAGAATCGAATGTTAATTTTAATAATATTTCCTCGAAATCGCTCTTGCAGTTTTCTTCCATTCTTCGTCTATTAGTTACCGAGTACCTACATAGTCTAAATACATTACCAAAATCAAGAAAGCATCGTTACGATTTTGTTGACCTACCTTTTCTGAAACTATTTGATTTCATAAAGTTCTCTTTCAAATATTCTTTTCGATAAAATTTTTGGTTCTCTTGAAAATTTTTCATTTTCTAGCTGTAAGAACGTTATTTGGCTTCTTGAAAACAATATCATTGGATTCTGTTTCTTGGAGTTACCAAATATACCTCCAATTTTCATTGGAAGAATTTTATTAATTTTGGTCGGAATATTTAATTCATTTCCTCAGTTTATTACTGACGAGGAAAACGAAAGCAGTCTGAATATAAGAGAGAGCATGCGACAAGTAGCAAATCAGCTTCCAATCGATGAAATTATTAAATTATTTGATTTATTTATTTCAGAAGCTGACGTTAAATCGGTTGGAATAGCTTTAACACTACTGGAACTTGCTGTGCAATACGATGAATCCATTTTTCTTCAACTTTTGGAAAAAGATTTTTCAGAAAAATTTCAAGATTTGATGATTAACACTCCAAATAAGGTCAATATATATTGTATTCACTTCTCATATGAATGCATACCTTATTTCTATTGTCAATTCCCTGATAAATGAAGAAATTGTTGAAATTTTTGAAAATTTAATCGAAAGTGATGTCGAAATCTCAGAGAAAGTGTTCCAAATTTGCTTATCCATATATGATCTGATTGATTCTGACTCTCCAATGAAAGAAATTCGGGATAATATCATTGACCAAAATTATTCTACATCAGAATAAGATATTTCATATGTATTTGTTTTTGCCATGTTATGTTAATGTAAACTATACTATTCTATCACTTTATTTTTTGAAATTTGATGAGTCATTGAAAAATAGTCGCCAGAAAGAACGAAAGAAATCAAATAAATTGGAATCATTATGTTTTTATTCTGAAAGATTAATGAAATTATCAAAACGATCAAATTGGACAACATGAAATCAAAAAAGACGTTATGATTGATCTTTTTATGGGTGAGAAGTAATCTGTTGTATTATAATCAGATATGTAATAATGTCGTAGGAAAAATAGCCGGTAAGCGTCATTTTCCTATTTTTCCGAAATTGTTTGAGCAACTTTTGAGAGGGTAAAGATTTTATCAGTTGTCACTTTTCGATTATACAAAGAATTTTTAACGTACAGCATTTTTACAATAAAAAATATTTTTTACTTTTCCTCTTTCTAAACACTGTGATGCTGTCTTTGGTACCCAAAAGAAGAATACCAGTGCCTAAAGAAAGGTCACAAAGTATGATTGTGCAAGGAGAACTGACGAAACAACCCAGTTCACCTTTTATTAAAGATCGTTTTGTCAATTCAGAGAGAAAAACGCCAACATGTTCTCCAAGTCCATTATACAAATCTCCATCAGCTAATAGTTTCGTTGAAAGTCCGATAAAGTCACCAATCAGTACTCCGAAAAAACAAAAGAAATACCATGTAACTGATACGACTCTTGATGCTCCTGATATATTAGATCTTGAGCCAAATGAAATTATTAGCTTTAACACTGAAAATCATCTTGCAGTTGCCCTTGGTCAGCATGTTTACATCTGGAGAGACGGAGATGTCGAATATTACATGAATGCTGCAGTTAATATCAATTCATTATGCTGGTACGATAGTGATACACTTGTTATCGCGCCAAAAGGTCATGTTGAGTTATGGAGTGTCTTAACCAAGCGTTGCATCCGCAAATTACAGCACCACAAAGGCCGTGTAAACTGTATAGCATGTACAAACGGCAAAATTGCAACTGCTGGTACAGACAACGTAATCAACTTATCAGATCTCAAAACTTTCAAAACAGATACATTGATTGGCCATAAATCAGAAATAGTCAGTCTTTCTTGGTCGCCGGATGGAAACATTCTTGCATCAGCTGATAAATCTGGTTTATTATCCATTTGGGCAAACAAAAAACGTAAAAAGATACCTATGCACTTCCCAATAGCATCAATTACATGGATTACCCAAACAATTATCGCTGTTGGTGGAAGTGATCAAGATGGAACACTCAAATTAGTGAATATTTTATGCCCTGATGATGAACAGTCAATATTTGTTGAGACTGGTCAGCCAATATCACATATCCACTGGTGCTTAGCCCGTGGAATATTTGTTGCTCACAGAATTCTTCCATTTGATGTGGAATTATTCGGCCGCGATTTAACAAAAATCGATGATTTTAAGGGTCATGAAGGCCCTGTAATGCAAGTAATTAGCACTCTAGATGGTTCATATGCAGCTTCAATTGCAGCAGATGAAAAAATTAAATTATGGAATTTCGTGAATGAAGCTTCACTCGTTAGAGCACAATCAGCTCAGTTCTTCCCAACAATTAGATAAGTGTATTGTAAATATATTATGTTATAAAATCTGTAAATAATCCCAGCTTTATAGCTCATTTGTCAAAAAAAATTGAGAATGTGTCAAAAAGTGGTAATTTTATCAATTTTACCAATATTAGTAATTTTTTTTCAAATGGTATTACTATATTTTGTTTCAATATGGAATCGCGCAACTAGAAAAAAATTATTTAAATTTTGAAGTGTGACATATAAAGTTCTGTCAAAATGTAAGCTATTGAATTTTTTGAGAGGGAAATAATCATCGAGGAAGTAAAAAGTGACGCTTTAGGAAATATTATTAGAAATATGATAATAAATATATTTGGAAAAAATATGTTTTTTTCAAAAATTGAAATGTTCATAGAATATTTTGAAATATGTAGGGAATTGAATTCGGTAATATATGATAAACAGGATTTTTAAATTTCAAGGAAAAATAGCTTTTGTGAATACTTTTGAGAACTCTTCTCAAAGATCATGATTCAAATATATTAAGAGCCAAAATATTAGAGATGAGTTCACAATCAAAATTTTACATTTTAATTATTTAGAAAAACGTATTAACCTCAATAAAAAATATCTCAAAGATTAATAGTTAATTTAGGGTTTCCTAGCTATCTAGAGGGAATTGTTCCTTATGATGTATATATTTATAATGTATGCATCATAAGGAACAATTCCCTCCTTAAAACGAGAAAACTTGTTCGCAATCATTTCGCATTTCGAACAAGTTTTCTCGTTTTAATAACAAACTAAAGGCTATGAGGCACTGATTATATATTAGTGCCTCATAGCCTTTAGTTCCCAGTAGATAGCTGGGAAACTTTCTCCAAATGATAAGTTATTTAGAGAAAGTTTCCCAGCTATCTAGAGGGAATTGTTCCTTATGATGTATATATTTATAATGTATGCATCATAAGGAACAATTCCCTCCTTAAAACGAGAAAACTTGTTCGCAATCATTTCGCATTTCGAACAAGTTTTCTCACTTTTAATAAACTAAAGGCTATGAGGCACTGATTATATATTAGTGCCTCATAGCCTTTAGTTCCCAGTAGATAGCTGGGAAACTTTCTCCAAATGATAAGTTATTTAGAGAAAGTTTCCCAGCTATCTAGAGGGAATTGTTCCTTATGATGTATATATTTATAATGTATGCATCATAAGGAACAATTCCCTCGCTGAAGTGAGAAAACTTGTTCGCAATCATTTCGCATTCGAACAAGTTTTCTCACTTTTAGTAGGGAACTAAAGGCTATGAGGCACTGATTATATATCAGTGCCTCATAGCCTTTAGTTCCCTGTAGAAAAGATCGAAATTTTATTCTGATTTTAACTGATCTATATTTCGCTTGCGTTATTTGAATCTTTTCTTTTGCATATGTCATTCCTTTCACTTTTCGAATTTCATTTGCCTGCATGCTCTCTCGTTTTGGTTGAAAATCAACTCAATCTTAAAATGAACTTCTTCATTCTTTACAATAAATTCAATTTTTTTCGAGATATATCTTTATCTACCCCTATGTGAGCTGCATATTCTTTCTCGCTAAATTCTTTTGATTCTTCAGAGCTAAAAATCAAGTTTAATAAAAATAATGTTTATTCATAATTTTGAAAACCAAATTCAAATTTGAATGAGAATTTTTGAAAAAAATATAGAATATTTCAATAGTTTGGAATCTCTTCAACTTCCCACTGCTTATTAACACATTTTTTCCAGAGCGGTTTATCATCCTTGGTCCATTTCTTAAATTTGTTGTAAACCTCTCTTGGAGTGTATGGTCGAACTCCAATTTTTGGATGAGCGCCATGTGGCATGTCATTGTATTTTTGCCTGAATTCTTCCAATTCCTGATTGATGCTCTCAAATTCTGAAGACTTTGGAGCATTTTTGTCCAGTGATGGCCAGAGGCGTTCAATTTTGCCATTTTGACGTGGCATGTATGGAGCTGATTTTCTGATTTGAATGTCATAAGTACTCAAAAATTTTGTGAACTCTCCCTCATTTTCTTTACCGTTATCTGACCAGAAACAGAAAGGTGCTCCATATTTTTGAACTGTTGCAATTGCCACTTTTGAAGTTTCTGTTGAACTTTTGTTACGAAGCAATTTCAATGCTAACAAATAACGACTTTTGTCATCAATTATTCCATAAACCGGTAAAGTTTCTGGTTCTTTCAAAAAATGAATATCCACATGCCAGATTGTATTTGGAAGAATTGCTTCATAATCCACATAATATGCTTTTGGATTACTTTTATCTTTTTCTTTGTAAATTCCCAGAAATTTTGCTGCCTTAATAACTGCATTGTAACTGATTTGAAATTGTTTTGGATTCATATTGAGAGTCCAATACAATTTTTGAACCCCACATTTGTAATTTTCATAAGAATTCTGAACCTTCAAAATTAATTTTTGCAAATTACCTCAGACTTTTCAGAGGATTGAGTGGCAACTCAATCCTCTGAAATAGTCTGTGGTAATTTTTAGTCTCTACACTATTTCAATATAAGCTCCATTTTTAAACAGTTTTTAAAAATCGAGCATTGAAAAGTGTGATGAGACTCTGGAGTTAATTCCTCTTGTGGAGGACCACTTTTAATTTTTGGTGTACCACCGATTTCTTTGAATGCTTTTTTGAGAGTATTTCTTGAAATTTGTTTGAAAATTGTAACATTTTGATAAGAATATGGAACTTTTTTCAAAACTGTTGCGTATGTTAACTCACCATAAGGATGTCAATTCGGAAAATTGTTTTCATTTTAGGAGAATATAATTTTCCTTTTCGAAAATTTAAAAAGTGAGACGCGCAGGATTCGAACTTTTTTAAAAGTTGATTTAAATATATTCTAGTGTGGATTCTAAGGATAATATCATATTTAAAATAAGAATATACTAGTTTAGGTGGTATAATTTTTTTCGATAAATTTGAGAGCATGTACGTTTAGGACATCAAAAGTGTCAATTCGCTCAGCGAAAGCTGAGCTAGCTTCGTTCTCGAAAGAATAGGGAAGGAGTGAAAGAGAGTGATACAGATGTTGACACATTCATATCATTTCAACAAATTTTGATCAAATTGAAATGCAATGAAATTCAATTCACTTCATATCCTTCAGTCAGTACATTGACATCCTTCTACATCACAATGATAACTCGTGCATCAATAGTTCTACAACTAACTCAGAAAAAACAAGATTTTTCCTTCCAGCTTACAGCTTTTAAAAAGTTTCGATGATAAAAATCACTCTACTCTTGTTTATCGATATGTTGTGATAGTAGGTAAACGTATTCTTATCGATATTAATAAAAATATTTTTACGAAAATCTGAACCAATTACAGAGTTATTCATAAAGTTTATGATAACTGTAATTACTTCATCTTTGTTTTATATTTGAATAAACAATTTAATTTAATTTGCATAATTTTTTTAGTTGAAAGACAGGAAACTTAGTTGAGTTTGTATTATTTTTATCGTTCAATTCATTGTATATGTGAGTGATCCAGATATTTAAGATATTTAGAAAAAATTTATTAATTTGATTAACAAATTTTAATCAAAATAGCAAAAATCTATTTGATAGCTGTAAGCAAATAATAATTTCTATTTCAACCAAAATCACTTATTTTCATCTAAACGTATAAAATTGTCAATTTTATGAGAATAAATTTAAAATCTCATGAAATATAAAGGAGAGTAATATTTTTCAATTTTCTTTTTTTCTTTCTCTCAAATATTTTCTATTGGGAATTTTCTTGTTATCAAAAAATAATTTTAATATTTGTTTATTTCATTACATACAATAAAATTTTAAAAACTCTATTTCTTCACAAGAAAATTTTTTCCTTCATATGAAGAAACATTTTGTTCTCCATTTGATGCTGAGTCTAAATCTCGATTTTTGAATTTTCTTCTTTCCAAATTTCTTTTTTCCAAATTAGAAGTTTAATTCAAATTTTCAATAGTTTATATATACCTTGAATCCGAACCATTAAGTCATAGACCAATTTGAGAATTTTCAGAGGAATCAAATTTATAGTATTTATATATTATTAATCATTTTCTTAAATAAAATCATAAGTTCTCAATTTTTCTTCATAACGATTCTTATAAATTTTAATGTTTTTACTATGAGTGCTAAATATTATTAATTACTAAATGATTTTAAAAAGAAAAAACATGTTTTTACTTTGTACGTTAACATACGTTAATATCACTTCGGCTATGGATAGAGGCCAACAGCGCCTTATTAATGAGAAAAACATTAGCCTCTTATCAATGAGATGGAAGTGTATTCGTGGATTACAATTGTGAATTCAGATACACTTCCATCTCAAAAAATGCAATCAAATTTGTATTGAATTGCATTTTTTGAATACATGCTATTGGCAGTTGGGTTTTTAGTGCATTTATATTATATTGGTACTAAGGCTTTTGGAAAATTTACAAAATAAATTTAATATTTTGTAAATGTTATCGGTTCTTACGCTTTTGGAAGGAGGGATGGTATTTTTGGAGCATTATATTACATTGGTACTAAGGCTTTTGGAAAATTTACAAAATAAATTTAATATTTTGTAAATGTTATCGGTTCTTACGCTTCCTCTCTTCATCAAGATGCTTCCTCACTCCATCATGCATCCATCATGCAGCTTCCTCTCTTCATCAAGGTGCTTCCTCTCTTGATCAAGATGCTTCCTCTCTTCATCAAGATGCTTCCTCACTCCATCAAGATGCTTCCTCACTCCATCATGCATCCATCATGCAGCTTCCTCTCTTCAACAAAGTGATTCCTCTCTTCTTCAAAGTACTTCCTCTCTTCATCAAGATGCTTCCTCTCTTCATCAAGATGCTTCCTCACTCCATCATGCATCCATCATGCAGCTTCCTCTCTTCAACAAAGTGATTCCTCTCTTCTTCAAAGTACTTCCTCTCTTCATCAAGATGCTTCCTCACTCCATCATGCATCCATCATGCAGCTTCCTCTCTTCATCAAGATGCTTCCTCTCTTGATCAAGATGCTTCCTCTCTTCATCAAGATGCTTGCTCTCTTCAACAAAGTGCTTCCTCTCTTCTTCAAAGTACTTCCTCTCTTCATCAAGATGCAGCTTCCTCTCTTGATCAAGATGCTTCCTCTCTTGATCAAGATGCTTCCTCTCTTCATCAAGGTGCTTCCTCTCTTCATCAAGGTGCTTCCTCTCTTCATCAAGATGCTTCCTCTCTTCAACAAAGTGCTTCCTCTCTTCATCATGCAGCTTCCTCTCTTCAACAAAGTGCTTCCTCTCTTCATCAAGATGCTTCCTCTCTTCATCAAGGTGCTTCCTCTCTTCATCAAGATGCTTCCTCTCTTCATCAAGGTGCTTCCTCTCTTCATCAAGATGCTTCCTCTCTTGATCAAGATGCAGCTTCCTCTCTTCAACAAAGTGCTTCCTCTCTTCATCAAGATGCTTCCTCTCTTCATCAAGATGCTTCCTCTCTTGATCAAGATGCTTCCTCTCTTCATCAAGATGCTTCCTCTCTTCATCAAGGTGCTTCCTCTCTTCATCAAAGTGCTTCCTCTCTTGCTCAAGATGCAACTTCCTCTCTTCTTCAAAGTACTTCCTCTCTTGATCAAAGTGCTTCCTCTCTTCAACAAAGTACTTCCTCTCTTCATCAAGATGCTTCCTCTCTTCAACAAAGTGCTTCCTCTCTTCAACAAAGTGCTTCCTCTCTTCTTCAAAGTACTTCCTCTCTTCATCAAAGTGCTTCCTCTCTTCAACAAAGTACTTCCTCTCTTCATCAAAGTGCTTCCTCTCTTCAACAAAGTACTTCCTCTCTTCATCAAGATGCAGCTTCCTCTCTTGATCAAGATGCTTCCTCTCTTGATCCAGGTGCTTCCTCTCTTCATCAAGGTGCTTCCTCTCTTCATCAAGATGCTTCCTCTCTTGATCAAGGTGCTTCCTCTCTTCAACAAAGTGCTTCCTCTCTTCATCAAGATGCTTCCTCTCTTCATCAAGGTGCTTCCTCTCTTCATCAAGATGCTTCCTCTCTTGATCAAGGTGCTTCCTCTCTTCAACAAAGTGCTTCCTCTCTTCATCAAGATGCTTCCTCTCTTCATCAAGGTGCTTCCTCTCTTCATCAAGATGCTTCCTCTCTTCTTCAAAGTACTTCCTCTCTTCATCAAGATGCTTCCTCTCTTCATCAAGATGCTTCCTCTCTTGATCAAAATGCTTCCTCTCTTCATCAAGGTGCTTCCTCTCTTCATCAAGATGCTTCCTCTCTTGATCAAGATGCTTCCTCTCTTGATCAAGATGCTTCCTCTCTTCAACAAAGTACTTCCTCTCTTCATCAAGATGCAGCTTCCTCTCTTCAACAAAGTACTTCCTCTCTTCATCAAAGTGCTTCCTCTCTTCAACAAAGTACTTCCTCTCTTCATCAAGATGCTTCCTCTCTTCATCAAGATGCTTCCTCTCTTCAACAAAGTGCTTCCTCTCTTCTTCAAAGTACTTCCTCTCTTCATCAACGTGCTTCCTCTCTTCAACAAAGTACTTCCTCTCTTCATCAAGATGCAGCTTCCTCTCTTCATCAAGATGCTTCCTCTCTTGATCAAGATGCTTCCTCTCTTCATCAAGATGCTTCCTCTCTTCAACAAAGTGCTTCCTCTCTTCTTCAAAGTACTTCCTCTCTTCATCAACGTGCTTCCTCTCTTCATCAAGATGCTTCCTCTCTTCATCAAGATGCTTCCTCTCTTCAACAAAGTGCTTCCTCTCTTCTTCAAAGTACTTCCTCTCTTCATCAACGTGCTTCCTCTCTTCATCAAGGTGCTTCCTCTCTTCATCAAGATGCTTCCTCTCTTCATCAAGATGCTTCCTCTCTTGATCAAGATGCTTCCTCTCTTGATCAAAATGCTTCCTCTCTTGATCAAGGTGCTTCCTCTCTTCAACAAAGTGCTTCCTCTCTTCATCAAGATGCTTCCTCTCTTCATCAAGATGCTTCCTCTCTTCATCAAGGTGCTTCCTCTCTTCATCAAGATGCTTCCTCTCTTGATCAAAATGCTTCCTCTCTTGATCAAGGTGCTTCCTCTCTTCAACAAAGTGCTTCCTCTCTTCATCAAGATGCTTCCTCTCTTCATCAAGATGCTTCCTCTCTTGATCAAAATGCTTCCTCTCTTGATCAAGGTGCTTCCTCTCTTCAACAAAGTGCTTCCTCTCTTCATCAAGATGCTTCCTCTCTTCATCAAGATGCTTCCTCTCTTCATCAAGATGCTTCCTCTCTTGATCAAGATGCTTCCTCTCTTGATCAAAATGCTTCCTCTCTTGATCAAGGTGCTTCCTCTCTTCAACAAAGTGCTTCCTCTCTTCATCAAGATGCTTCCTCTCTTCATCAAGATGCTTCCTCTCTTCATCAAGGTGCTTCCTCTCTTCATCAAGATGCTTCCTCTCTTGATCAAAATGCTTCCTCTCTTGATCAAGGTGCTTCCTCTCTTCAACAAAGTGCTTCCTCTCTTCATCAAGATGCTTCCTCTCTTCATCAAGATGCTTCCTCTCTTGATCAAAATGCTTCCTCTCTTGATCAAGGTGCTTCCTCTCTTCAACAAAGTGCTTCCTCTCTTCATCAAGATGCTTCCTCTCTTGATCAAAATGCTTCCTCTCTTGATCAAGGTGCTTCCTCTCTTCAACAAAGTGCTTCCTCTCTTCATCAAGATGCTTCCTCTCTTCATCAAGATGCTTCCTCTCTTGATCAAAATGCTTCCTCTCTTGATCAAGGTGCTTCCTCTCTTCAACAAAGTGCTTCCTCTCTTCATCAAGATGCTTCCTCTCTTCATCAAGATGCTTCCTCTCTTCATCAAGGTGCTTCCTCTCTTCATCAAGGTGCTTCCTCTCTTCATCAAGATGCTTCCTCTCTTCAACAAAGTGCTTCCTCTCTTCATCATGCAGCTTCCTCTCTTCATCAAGGTGCTTCCTCTCTTCATCAAGATGCTTCCTCTCTTCATCAAGATGCTTCCTCTCTTGATCAAGTGCTTCCTCTCTTCATCAAGATGCTTCCTCTCTTCATCAAGATGCTTCCTCTCTTCCAAAGTACTTCCTCTCTTCATCAAGATGCTTCCTCTCTTCAACAAAGTGCTTCCTCTCTTCTTCAAAGTACTTCCTCTCTTCATCAAGTGCTTCCTCTCTTCATCAAGTGCTTCCTCTCTTCATCAAGTGCTTCCTCTCTTCATCAAGATGCTTCCTCTCTTCAACAAAGTGCTTCCTCTCTTCACAAAGTGCTTCCTCTCTTCATCAAGTGCTTCCTCTCTTCATCAAGTGCTTCCTCTCTTGATCAAGATGCTTCCTCTCTTCATCAAGTGCTTCCTCTCTTCATCAAAGCTTCCTCTCTTCATCAAGATGCTTCCTCTCTTCAACAAAGTGCTTCCTCTCTTCATCAAGAGCTTCCTCTCTTCAACAAAGTACTTCCTCTCTTCTCAAGATGCTTCCTCTCTTCACAAAGTGCTTCCTCTCTTCAATGCAGCTTCCTCTCTTCAACAAAGTACTTCCTCTCTTCATCAAGAGCTTCCTCTCATCATGCAGCTTCCTCTCTTCAACAAAGTGCTTCCTCTCTTCACAAAGTGCTTCCTCTCATCATGAGCTTCCTCTCTTCATCAAAGTGCTTCCTCTCTTCATCATGCAGCTTCCTCTCTTCAACAAAGTGCTTCCTCTCTTCAACAAAGTGCTTCCTCTCTTCATCATGCAGCTTCCTCTCTTCAACAAAGTGCTTCCTCTCTTCATCAAAGTACTTCCTCTCTAAATCAAAGTGCTTCCTCTCTTCATCAAGATGCTTCCTCACTCCATTATGCAGCTGCTTCTTTTCTTCATCAATTCCTCTTCACCCTGGAGCTCCTCAGCTTTATATCATTTTAATTGGATTTTTTGAAATCCACCTGCAGTAGGATAAAGGAGATGTAACTCACGACTAAGAACCTGGCCATATGCTCCATTCCAGGCCAAAACAGATTGCATAGCCACAAACAGATTGAAATACCAATCCTGTTGCTGCATGGGGCGTCCATATTCCATTTGGAAGACTTGCATCATCACATTTGGATCTGTAAGGACTTTGTCGTTGACAAAATTGGGCCTTGCAGGAGGAACTCCATTTGCTACAATGTATCTGGAAGCAAGAGGTTTGTTCATATCCAATGGATAGATTCCTGTTGCTTTAAAAGCATTTTCGATGTTTGTAGCTGTGCAAGACACACTACATGCATCAAGGAAGCTGCGAACCATGATATAGCGCAGTTCTCTGGCGTTCCATACATAATTGATCACCATATGCCCTTGCTGATCGTACCGGATAGTCGCCATATCAAACAACTTCTTGAATTGGGCCTTCAAGGGAGAAAAAATCCCAACATCAAGAGGTTGTAAGATATGAGATGTATGGCCTGGGAGAACAAGAAGCTCGATATTGAAGGCGCTCAAGAGGCGAACGGCCAAGAAAGAGAGCCTGGATGGATGACCATCTACAATTAGGAGAAAAGGTACCTGGGCATCAAACACATTCATTTGAGACCTTTTCTCCTGTACTTTGCAGATGAACATGATACAGTATACCATAAAAAGGTATTTGTTCATCCATCCACTCTCGGAGCGAACAAAAAAGGCGTCCAGATCTTCCAATTCCGCATCAAGGGTCTTCTTTTGTGGAAGTATCACCATTGGCTTCATAGTTGTACCATCTGCAAAGATGGTACAGACCCCTGTAAGATGTGGAAGCTGAGACTTTTCAGCGCGAACTGGGCGATTCCGGCCAGCAGTAAGAACTTTATAGCGACGTTTGGAATAGAGCATTGTCTCGTCCATATTCGCAATAAACTTCTTCCTGCGGGCAAAGTATCTATGCTTGGAGAGGAAAAATTGGCGAATATGGTTTGCGTCACAGGTAGAGCGTCGGAGCATATCAATAGTTTGGGAGCTCACAATCCGAATTGACAATCTTGTGGCGATATGATTAAGCCAGCCACGGGATGGCGATGGGCAGTAATCATCGAGCTTCGCTAGAAGATGCGGGCATCTTGCAGCGATTAGTACCCGCGCCGCAAATTTTAATCTCCTATTTTGTAATTCCGTACAGACAGCAATGGCCATTGATGTTGTAATACAGTTCAAGTCGTCTGCCATCTCTTGAACAAGTTTTTTGAACTGCATTTCATCTGGTAGTGACAAAAGGGTCATACCACCCCCTGACCTTTTGTCCATGAACGACAAGTAGCAGTGCGCATGATTGCGCGTGCTACTGTCGTCTTTGAAATTGAGTAAACATTCCGTATTTGTTGATAAGACTCGCCATTTACTCTTCGATAGAGTAAATCGAGTTGCATCTGGGTCAATAGCCCAAGATTTTTATAGTTTTCTAATTCTGCAGACTCGGGAATTCGTGTTCTTGGTTGCATTTTTTTTAAACGAGAACTTCACAAATTTGGTTCATGGCCATAAAAACTCATTCAATTTTTCTGAGATTTTTTTTCGTCACTCACTCAAAACGCAGAGGACCATTCTTCTCAAAATTGAATTATTTTCTCAAATATTGGGTGAGTAAAATGGGCACGTTGTGTAAATTGATTCAAAATTTTTTATTGGTACACGACCTTTGAAATTGGTCTCGGGCTATTCAACCTACGGTATTTTCTCAAACCGTCTTAGATTTTCTCACTTTTTAGGGATTTTCTCTCAAAATATACAAAAATAGTAATACCAATACATGTGTCTAATATACTTTAAAACCATCGTGATAAAATTCAAAAACGAAGAATTCTTCTCTCCAAATTTTTTTCAAAATCAAAAAAATGAGATAAAAAAATACGTTTGGAAAATTCATTTTTAGCATTTTAAGAATTTTCTCACTTTTCTTCCAAATTGACATCCTTACTCACCACTTTCAAGTTTTTCATACATATATCTTACCCATTCATTTGGAATACTAGGTCTCGAGTTTTCGTTCATTTTTTTTACTTTATAAAACTGTTTATTTTTCAGAATTTTTAAATTTGAAAAAGTCCATTCTATATCTGATAAATAATATATTATTTTTCAATCAAAATATTTTGATTATCATCTCAAAAGTGTTCTCAAAACCTAGTTTTTCTTATTTTGGATAATCTTAATATTTATATTATTATAAACTAATTGAACACCATATGTTTTTGTATACTTTTACAAAAAAATTGATAGATTTGTGATACTTTCCCCGATGATAGAATTGAATAGCTTACATTTTGACAGAACTTAATATGGAACAGAAGCACCATGCTCAACTAAGAATTCGATAATTTTTGTTGAATTCACTTTGCTTGCAATACTAAGAGGGCACTCATTAATATCAAGAGAATTTCGTAAAACAATGACAAATATGAAAACAAAGAGAATTGTATAAAACAATGATAAATATGAAAAGAAAGAGAATATTATTAAACAAAGATAAATATAAAAAGAAAGAGAAGTGGATAAAACTATGATAGATATATAAAGAAAGAGAATTGTATAAAACAATGATAAATATAAGAAGAAAGGGAATTGAATAAAACTATGATAGATATATAAAGAAAGAAAATTCCATGAAACAATGATAAATACGAAAACAAAAAGAATTTTATTAAACAAAGATAAATATTAAAAGAAAGAGAAGTGGATAAAACTATGATAGATATATAAAGAAAGAGAATTGAATAAAACAATGATAAATATGGAAAGAAAGAGAATTTTATAAAACAATTATAAATATGAAAAGAAAGAAAATTGTATAAAACAATTATCAATATGAAAACAAAGAGAATTATATAAAACAATGGTAAATATAAGAAGAAAGGGAATTGAATAAAACTATGATAGATATATAAAGAAAGAAAATTCCATGAAACAATAATAAATATGAAAAGGAAGTGAATAAGTTTCATGTTAACATCTGCACCTTGTTCAACTAAGAATTTAACAATTTCTATTGATTTGAGTTCGATTGCAATACTAAGAGGGCACTCATTAATATCAAGAGAATTTCATAAAGCAATGATAAATATGAAAATAAAGATAATTTCATAAAGCAATGATAAATAGAAATAGAAAAAGAATTTTATAAAATAATGATTTATATGAAAAGTAAGAGAATTAAATAAAACAATGATAAATATCAAAAGAAAGAAAATGTAATCAAAAAATGATAAATATGAAAAGAAAGAGAATTGTATAAAGCAATGATAAATATTAAAAGAAAGAAAATGTAATCAAACAATGATAAATATGAAAAGAAAGAGAGTCCAATAAAAAAATGATAAATATGAAAAGAAAGAGAAGTGGATAAAACAATGATAAATATGAAAAGAAAGAGAATTGCATAAAACAATGATTAATATGAAAAGTAAGAGAATGTGATAAAACTATGATAAATATGAAAAGTAAGAGAATTATATAAAACAATGATAAATATGAAAAGAAAGAGAATGTGATAAAACAATGATAAATATGAAAAGAAAAAGAATTTTATAAAACTATGATAAATATAAGAAGAAATGGAATTATATAAAACTATAATAGATATATAAAGAAAGAGAATTTCATAAAGCAATGAAAAATATTAAAAGAAGGAAAATGTAATCAAACAATGATAAATATGAAAAGAAAGAGAGTCCAATAAAAAAATGAGAGATATGAAAACAAAGAAAATTTTAAAAAGCAATGATAAATATGAAAAGGAAGTGAATAAGTTTCATGTTACATCATGCACCTTGTTCAACTAAGAATTTAACAATTTCTATTGATTTGAGTTCGATTGCAATACTAAGAGGGCACTCATTAATATCAAGAGAATTTCATAAAGCAATGATAAATATGAAAATAAAGATAATTTCATAAAGCAATGATAAATAGAAATAGAAAAAGAATTTTATAAAATAATGATTTATATGAAAAGTAAGAGAATTAAATAAAACAATGATAAATATCAAAAGAAAGAAAATGTAATCAAAAAATGATAAATATGAAAAGAAAGAGAATTTTATAAAACAATGATAAATATTAAAAGAAAGAAAATGTAATCAAACAATGATAAATATGAAAAGAAAGAGAGTCCAATAAAAAAATGATAAATATGAAAAGAAAGAGAAGTGGATAAAACAATGATAAATATGAAAAGAAAGAGAATTGCATAAAACAATGATTAATATGAAAAGTAAGAGAATGTGATAAAACTATGATAAATATGAAAAGTAAGAGAATTATATAAAACAATGATAAATATGAAAAGAAAGAGAATGTGATAAAACAATGATAAATATGAAAAGAAAAAGAATTTTATAAAACTATGATAAATATAAGAAGAAATGGAATTATATAAAACTATAATAGATATATAAAGAAAGAGAATTTCATAAAGCAATGAAAAATATTAAAAGAAGGAAAATGTAATCAAACAATGATAAATATGAAAAGAAAGAGAGTCCAATAAAAAAATGAGAGATATGAAAACAAAGAAAATTTTAAAAAGCAATGATAAATATGAAAAGGAAGTGAATAAGTTTCATGTTAACATCTGCACCTTGTTCAACTAAGAATTTAACAATTTCTATTGATTTGAGTTCGATTGCAATACTAAGAGGGCACTCATTAATATCAAGAGAATTTCATAAAGCAATGATAAATATGAAAAGAAAGAGAATGTTTTTAATCAATTATAAATATGAAAAGAAAGAGAATGTTTTTAATCAATTATAAATATGAAAAGAAAGAGAATTAAATAAAACAATGATAAATATCAAAAGAAAGAAAATGTAATCAAAAAATGATAAATATGAAAAGAAAAAGAATTTTATAAAACAATGATAAATATTAAAAGAAATACAATTGTATAAAGCAATGATAAATATGAAAAGAAAGAGAATTTCATAAAGCAATGATAAATATTAAAAGAAAGAAAATGTAATCAAACAATGATAAATATGAAAAGAAAGAAAATTGTATAAAACAATGATAAATATGAGAAGAAAAAGATTATAAAGTTTGTTGATATCTTCTCCATTAGTAAGTAAATAAGATGCAATATCATAATTTCCGAAATGCATACTTTCTGCTATTGAATGAGGAGATTGTCCAAAATTTGATTTAAGGAACTCAGCAATTTCATAGTTTCGATAATCCAATGCTGTATTAATCATGTTATCAAATGATTTACCATCTTCAATCATTTGCATAAAAATCTCTTTATTTCCGCCTTGCATAGCATATTCTTCGGAGTTAGAAGTGTATTTAACTCCTATGTTTTTCAAGTAATTGAAACACAGTTCTGAGCCATATTTAATTGCACAATCAAGTAGTGTGATTTTATTAATTTTCTGATTAATGTAAAGATCTGGGAATTTGTTCTTAAGATCATCAACTCTATCCCATGCAACATAGTAGAAAGGAGAGTCGGTTGAATATATATTGAGGATTTCTTCTTCGTTCATTTCAGGTTCGTAGTTTTCAAATTTGAAACCTTTATAATATAAAAGTGTTGCCAATTTTTCATTTTCTGGTTTGATCAAGCATGAAAATTCGTTTAATATCTGTTTGTAAAGTTCCGTAAATAATTTAATATCTTTAACACGAATTTGTGAAAAAATATCAATCAGATAAACTGCCATTTGGATAGATATTTTGTTATTTGTAATGAATTCTATAATTTGTGAAGATACTTGTAAAATATTAATGGAATTAACATCCCAAATAATTTTAGAAGCTTGGTTAGGGTATTCAAATTCTTTAATTGGTTTAATGTCGCCAAAGTCACATCTATTTTCATTTTTTGATTGTTCTGAACTTGACATGAATTATGAAAATTATTGATGTGACACTTAATAATTTGAAAAGTTTACAATATCTTTTTAATGGCATCCACTAAGCATAAGGTGTTCACTCTAGAATACTTAGAATGCAAATGGTAGTCAGCAACTAATAGAATTTAGCATATCCTCAATTTTTTTAAGAGGGTTTGATCATTCGGAATTGATTTCAAAATTCAATTCAGCAAATACAGTGGAATCAAATTTTTTTGGGAAAAAATAAGTATGAAAAATGGAGATGGAGGAATCGAACCCCCGGCCTCAACTATGCTAAAGTCGCACTCTACCACTGAGCCAAGCATAACATAATTTTAGAAACAAGTAAAGTCATTCTAAAAAGCACTTCATATATTATGTTTTCGATCGTAACAATATAGATGTTTTCGCTTTTAGATAAAAGATTTATCAAATATATTATCATATATATGTTATTATTCATTTATCTTTACGGAAACGCCATAGTATTGAGATACTCGCATAGCAGATTACTCAAACGTATATGTTAAAATCCTAAATTATTAACTTTTTTTGTGCAGGTGGTTTTCCTTGTAATAGCTATAAAACATATAGATTCATTGTAAGTATCACCTTTAGAATAGATTTATTTAAAAACTATCAGCCACAAAAAAGTTACCCGTATATTCAATTATTGACTTATTCAAAATAGCAAAATTAATAATAAGATAATGATCTATAGCATCATGGTATGCATAATGTTTAACTATTTAGTATGTCTTATAAAATTATTATTTTATTTATTTTTATTACTAGGAATAAATTATCTTAATACTAGTAAATAGTTCACACATTTATGTAATTTAGATATTTTTTGCTCAGAAAGCCTAATTGATTGGTACTAACTCATCATTTATTCGCTCATTGAGAAAGTATAATTAAAACATGCAAGATATATGAAATTATTATAAACTTTGGATTACAATCTGAATGATTTAATTTCAATCATACTTCATGATGATTAATTGAAATTTCATTATTGTAATATATGAAATTTAAGCATTAATATTATTTTAGAACTTAAAATAATTAGTTTTTGTCCATTCATAATTCTAATAAATCGGCTAAATATGTAAAAAATTTAAAAAACTTAAAAATGGTAAAAATATTCTGAACATAAAATATATACAAATTACTATTGCATTTCCCTCAAAATTGGCCGATAGTTTTTCTTGCATGTTCATACAAATATTGCTCACAAGCATGCATAGAAGCTATATTCAAAATTTGGAGGCATTTCGCTTGTATCAAGGGTAGTCTACATACCTCTTTATGCCATCTTCTGCTAATTTTAGAATCCTTAGCCCTTTACATTAAATTTTCTATATTCTCAAATAGCTTTTGTTCACATAAATCTAAATGCTGTTCAATTTCTTCAATAATCAAATAGTTTCATGCTCTAATTTTTGGTAAATTACAATATTATCGTATTGTAAATATTATGGCGCTATGAGAGGGCATCCTTGTATCCAATTTTTTTGGTGTCAAAAGGGCAAATTTACCCTTTTGAGAGGTTTGACACGGCCTTTCTCTAATGGGTAAAGTTCACGGTTCCCTCGCTCAAGCAGGCAAAGTTCGCTCTAACACACCAAAGGTCCCAAAGATGGACAAGCCAAAGGAAGTTCGTGGCCGCGCTCGTCTGCGCAAGATCTACAACCAGCGCTTCCTTGCTGTTAACCCAGATGCTAAGCGCAAGACAGGACCAAACAGTCAGTCTCAATAAAATAATATCTTTTAGAGTATTTATTAAAAATTCATCTAATCAAATTCTACTTTTTCAAAATTCATATATTTTATTTAGGAATCGATTTCATTAAGTTTATGATTTTGCTATAATACAATGCACTTTAAAGATATTAAGCAATTTTACTTATGAAACTGATATTTTTAAGCTAAAATCTGATACCAAATTTATTAAAATAGAACAAGTGATATGACATCTTAATGGTATGCGTATTTTTAGTTTAGATAATAACATAAAAGATATAATTAATACATTATTATCTTATATATTTTCGAAATTGTATTGATTAAGCACTTTCCACTTTCTGACATTCTCTCATAATATCAATACATCTTTATTTTAATAACAAAAAGGTATAACAGTCATATGAGGTACTAAGTTATTATAACTTTTCATCAAAGAAAATTAGGAGATATGTCAGAAAGTGGTAAGTGCATCCTTAAGAGTGCACTTACGCCCCTATGACACGGCCTTCATCAGATGTTTAAGGTTAAATTTCAATGTCGCTTCAAGCCAGTTGTCAGAAATTTGAATTAAAGTCAGGTGGGCGTCGATGCATCCTTAAGCTTACCATTTCATTAAAAAAGATCTTTTTTTTCCCTTTCGTCGGATAATATATATAAGGAAAATTGAGGGTTTTTAAAAAACCGCCGTTTGAGAGGAAAATTGAGAGCCCCGATGTATACTTTTTGACATTGTCAAAAACTTTGAAAGGACCAAAAAAATTTAGTGTCAGAAAGTTTACAAATGTATCCTTTCTGACAAACAGACTCTCAGAAAGTACTCAAACTGCGGTTTTTAATTTCCGCACTTTTTTTGGCGACCTTATATAAAAAAGAAAATAATTTTTTATCAAATAAATAAAAAAATCTATATCTATTAATCTATATGTATATATATAATTATGCACCCCATAATTTGACTTTCTTGTCCTTTCCACCTGAAGCAGCTCTTCCTCCAGCAGGTGACCAATCAACAGCGTAAACAGCATCTTCGTGTCCTGGCAAATCGTTTTTCATCTTTTGTCTTGCAATGTCCCAAACTTTTAGAGTTGTGTCTTCACTTGCAGAAATGAGCAAACGGGAGTCAGCACTCCATGACAGTCTGTAGACTGCTTTGATGTGCATTCCGGTGCTCTTTCCTCTTCCTCTGCCGAGATTGCAGATGAATTTTCCTGTCTTTCCATCAAATAATCTGACAGTTTTGTCATCACCTGCAGAAGCAAGCCAATATCCATTCGGACTGAACAAAACGTGGTGGATGATGTTCGTGTGTCCCGTTAAAAGCTTCATGTCCTCGAACTTCCCATTCTGGAACTTGTAAAGGAAGATTCTTCCCATTGAATCTCCGACAGCAACATTTTCACGTGGACATGTCCTGAGGAAGTTCTTGTAGCGCTTTTCCGCGGCAACTTTCATGTCTGGATCGACCAATTTGCCGTATTCCCAGCCACCTGTTCGTAAAACGTGTTGTGATGAGATGGATAAAGTACGGAGTTCGCTGCATTTGTCGCTTCTGACATCTAGCTGTTCGCCTGTATTGCTGTCGAATGCTTTGAGTGTATGATCGTTAGAAGAACTGAAGATTACGCCTTGGCCGTTCCATGCGAATCCCATGACCAAGTTTTTAGGAGTATGGCCGTTGAGAGCGACTAATCTGCGACCTGTGCCACTGCAGAAGATGGCAACTTCGCCATTTGTCGTAGCAGCAGCGAGTCTTGGATGTGGAGATTTATTTAAGTGCATTGGCTCCCATTCGAGAGCGCAAACACCACCATTGGTGGCTTTGAATGTATTAGTAATCTGGAATGTATCATCTTCTTGCTTCTTGAGGATGATAATCTTTCCTTCTGTTCCTGAAACTGCTACTGTCTTCGAATCTGAATACCATTGGATGCATTGGATCCAGAACTTAGGTTCTGCAACTTTTATCTTCTGTTTGAGGTTCTGTGTGCCGACATCCCAGAAAATTACAGAGCCATCGCCACCACCTGTAGCAAGCTCCAATCCATCTGCAGAAAATGCAATGCAAAGGACTATATGTGTATGTCCTGGTAATGTTGCAGAACAGAAACTGACTGAACGGACTGAATAAATACTTTCTGGGCGATAAACAATTTGCATGACTTTTTCTGTTGATGGTGAGTTAATAAGTTTGTCAAGGCCACCAAGAACGATCTCATCGTTCACGTAGAATGTGTATGGAGTTTCTTCTTCATTTTTCAACAGCTGATTGATCAAATCATTTAAATTTTTAACGGTAGTTGTGGCAGGGAGTGAAATTTGCTCACCTGTTGATACTCCGTTTGAGTCTACGAACTCGCAAAGATACTGCATTTTACTCCAAAATTCTAGATTTTAATTTTCTGAACTTTACATTGAAAAGACATTTAGCTCTAAGAAATTTTCTTGAGATCGAAATCGGTGAGAATAATAAAAAGATAATACTATGTATGAAGTTGCTAAATCAACTATTATCCAATTTTTCATGAATTCCTGAAATTGTTCAAAAATATGTATCCTTACACACAAACAGCTAGAAAACAACTTATTTAACCATAAGTACATGTTCGTTAATGTATAACATACAATAACACCTATTATTGAACTGCGGAAACAAATTTTGAGAAACGTTGTAAAACTAAGATTTCCAATTCCGATTTGCTTCTAATTTTGGGGATATGGTCATTAGATGATTCTAAAACAAATGGCTGATATTTTTTTTCGAATCTGTCTGCTGGTTTTTGAGATCTTGAAAAACGCATTCAATTTTAAAAATGTTTTTTAAAAAAAATTAGAAAAACCATAGTTTTTAAGATTTGTAAGTAATAAATTCGGTATTCATTAATTTTTTATAACTAAGTTAGGGTAGATTTATGCACAAAATCTATAATTTAAACCAAAATATAAAATACATGCGAAACAAAGAAAATCTAATGCGAGCCGGGGCTGATCTTATACTAGAAGTTTTAAAAAAAGTTTACGTGTTAGATTTAGCTCAGTGGTAGAATGCCCCTATCTGAAGTTGTGAGGTTCGATTCCTTTGAATATCATTTTTTTCTTTTTTTTAAAAATGGTAAATTTTATTACAAAATATATTTATTTCGACAAAAATAAGTCATTGCTTCACTGGAATAGCAAGTTCACCTGTATTGTATAAACCTGTGATGGAATTATAATCAATTGAGGAATTTTCAATAAGAGAGTTCAAAATTTCTCCAATTTCATTATTAATATCTTCTTCAGAAACATCAGGATGCAAAAGATGAATTTTATAAACAATATTTCTTTGGTGATTCCATCTTCACACCTAGCAATAAACTTCCATACTTCTTGAGTTTTTTGGTCTTTAAACTTTGCGCTATTAATTTTCTTTTTAGAAAGTTTTGTACGTTTTCTTCCCTGAACACAATGAAGTTCCGGTTTGTCCATCATGAGGTTTGATTCATGACAAAGATTTGAGGAGTTTGATGAACAATAGGTATACTCTCTTCAGAGTCATCGCCTTTTATATCCACTTTGTATCTAGAAGTAATATTGACTCCTGAGAGTGGACTGCAGATGTAAGCAGAAATATGGATAGGTGAATGGACTTTAACAACTTCACTCACAAACTTCTTGAATACTTCTATTCCATCAGCATCAGGAATGTCCCAGTTAGCAGCAAGAAAAAGGGAGTTAGCTGCTACAAATGGAGAAATGTCGATAGGAATGTTTACAGTACATTTATCTGGATTAAATGTATGTTTCGTACCGAAATGGCTAACAAAAAAGTGACAGAAAACCTTAAATTGCGCGGCAATTTTAATTAAAAAAATAAACATGAATTTTTGTGATTGATATTATGCATTTTATTTATATTATATAAGATTTAAATTTAGGGGAAAAATTGGAAAAAAAAATAAGATTGGAAGTCTTTAGGTAAGAAGGAAAGGGCAAGAGATATATAGTGTACCTATATACCTCTTGCCCTTTCATTCTAAGTAGAAATGGGAGAAACTTTGTCCTAAGTTATGCGACAAAGTTTCTCCGATTTCTAATGGGAATTGCAGGCTATGAGGCACTGATATATAATCAGTACCTCATAGCCTACAATTCCCATTAGACTTCCAAACTTTGAGTTAATGTCAAGACATTAACTCAAAGTTTGGAAAAAAGAATCAAGTCAAAAAACCTCAATTGCAGTTATATTCATTGTGTTAAATTTGATTTATTTTGAAATTTTTATAAATTAAATTTTATATAACATAAAGCGTTATGAATTAGTATTTCCATATGAATTTTATCTCGAAAATAGTAATTCTGTACAGTTATATTTCGGTTAATTTTGGAAATTTCTAGGAATACTTTAAGATAGTATGATTATATATAACTCTGCCTTCATGATTTATTTTAGCTTTCGCGCAAATATCAGTTAACTTAACTCCATTATTTGATTTTGTGATGGCTTCACAAAATAAATCAATCTCTTGGAGAATGTCTTCTCATCTAGAATATTTTCAATACTTTACATACAAACATTTTTATTTCCAAAAAACTTTTTAATTTTTTCTAGGATATATGAATGAAAATAGTTAGAACAAGATTTTGAAGCTCAAAACATTAAAAATTATTAAAGATTTGTATAATATGATTAAAAATGGGAAATAATATGAGGCAATATAAAGGAATATGAATATTAAATAAATATATCTAAATAGAAAGAATCAGAAAAATCAAATTATTGGCGCCAAAAATGTCACCTTTTTGGTGAGCCATTTCGGTATGAGATAAAATGTAATTCCTGTTTGATAATCACGACCTGGTGTTCTCCATTCCATTTCATATTGGAAATTTATCCGAAGAACTTCATTTGTTTGAGCCAATGTCGTCATAGCCGTATCTTGTTCCGTACCGAAAAGGGTCACTAGAAAAAGTGACAAAAAGTGACACTTACTCTTATTTTTCACGCCAAAATTCTAAAGGGTTTTTAATATAATAATTATAATATATAAGGAATTTTATTAAAAATATGAAATTAAAATATAAAAAATTTAATAGTTAATTTAAGTTTGTTTTTTATTTTTATTTTAGAACTGTTTTCATAGGAATTGAAGGGTGCGAGGTATATAGTATGCCTATATACCTCGCACCCTTCAATTCAAACTCTAAATGGGAGAAACTTTGTTCGTATGTTATCTTATAAAGAAAAGTTTCTCCCATTTAGAAAGTGAATAGGAGCCTACCAGGCACTGATACATAATCAGTGCTTTGTAGGCTCCTATTCCCTCGAGAAAGTTCGAAAACTTGGTCGCAATTGCATCTGATTGAGACAAGTTTTCGAACTTTCTGGTAGGAATTGAAGGGTGAGAGGTATATAGTATGCCTATGCCTCTCACTCTCAGATTACATTAACGTACATAAAAAAATATTTTTAGATTGATTTTTACTAACCTGAACCTCGGAGTAACGAAGTATTCGTAGATATGATGTAGGCTATTGTTTTAAACGGTAAGCTTGGAAACTTTTGTTAGATAACTTAGCATTCGAAGTCACTTTTTGAACTTTCTGCGCAAAACTGTAGCCTCGGAGTACCGAGGTATTCGTAGATATGATGTAGGCTATTGTTTTAAGCGGTAAGCTCGGAAACTTTTCTTATATAACTTATCATCCAAATCTACGATTTGCAATGAATCATCAGTAAGTAAATAATTGTATTAAAAAGATGTAAATACGATAATATTAAGTGTTTATTCGTAATGATTTGAGAATTTGTTGAAAATTTATTGAACTTGCTCGAGATTTTCATTTTCTGAACTCGTCAATGCTTTCCTTAAGGTTTTTTAATTGACCGTCGACTATCCAGAATGGTTCTTGTTCTGGATTTCGATACCAGTGATCATCAATTTCACTGGCCTCGAATTCATTCGGCGTAAAGTAAACGTTCGTTTCAGGATTCACAGGCAAAGAAGAATGGGGCATATTATTGTAAAATCTGATGACACGTGGAAGATCTGATTCTGACTTGCAGTTTCTTTCCACGTATGGCCACCATCTCTCAATCTTACCATTTGCCTGTGGATTGCCCGGTTGAATGAAAATATGCTCAATTCCACGTTCAACCAAAAGTTGATGAAATGAGCTTTTATTTTCAAGGCCGTTATCGTCCAAATAGCGTATGGTGGTTGAGGTAGAGTACTTAATACTCTTTTAAGAACTGCAGTTGTATTTTGAGCTGTTTTTTCGGTAAATAAATTAAAATCTATGATTTTTCGCGATCTGTCGTCTATTATCGCAAACAAATATTTGCCTATTCGTTTCCTCCAATAGTGGATATCAGCATGCCAAATTTGATGACATTTGGATGCTAGATAATTTCGAGGAATGTATTTTTGCTGATTTTCTTGATTTTGAGGGGGAGTATCTGCGATAATCGCTTCGTGTATTTTCCTGCCCATTCTATATGAGGGAGAATCGAAATTTTTTGTAATGTATGTTGCCGTTTGAAGAGATTCGCGTAATGGATTTATTTCAATAGGCGTACCTTCTATTGGAGTCACAACTGGAACTAAAGTTGTGCGGTCAACTTCATCGAGCCAGTTTCCAGACTCATAATTTATTTCTCCATTTTTTTGAATTTCTGATTGAATTTTTTTGAAATTCTTCTGGATTCTTCTCAATATTGACAAGGTCTGTTTTCATTTTCTGAATAATTTTATTGATGCCTGCATCGGGCATTAAATCTTTCAAATTTGCATAAGCTTGGCAGGCATCAAGATTAATTTCTATTTGTTTTCTTCCTCTTTTTGGAATTAATTCCAAATTATTTTCTCTGACAAGCTTTTTGAACATGGTTTTGGATATTTCACGAAAGGTACCATTATTTAAACGGGCCTTTTTGCAAATATCCTTTAGCTTCATTCCAGAGTTAATTTGTTGAACCGATTCCTTTAGCCATTCGATGTCAACTAATTTTCTGGAGGTACGATGCCAGTGATATGGATCCAATTGATTTTTGTAAAAGTTTACAAAAACTTCCATTCTGAAAAATAGTATGGATTTGATATAAAAAAATAATATGTAATAGTGTAATATTGATTAAATAATAAAAATAAGTTTTTTTTAAAAATAATTTTGGCGCCAAAAGTCACTTTTTCTAGCGACCCTTTTCGGTATAGTATAGTCATAGCCGTATCTAAATCATATTTAAAATGACTCATAACGCGCAGCAAACCGAAAAGATGCTCTTCAGTCATTGTTGTTAAGTGAGAGAAATTTAAATTTTGATTCCTATTAAACTCAACAATGAACACCGAAAGAGCTCTTAACATCTGCTCAAGCATTATCTCGTTTGCAATGAATTTGAACTTCACATTGATTTCACCTCTCTCTTCTGTTTGGAAATTGTTTTTAATTCCCATTTCGTCATGCTTACATAAAATTGACATTACAAGATGAACTGCTGTTATCAACATGAACATTCTTGTGTCAAAATTAATAACTTCGTTGCGAATGCTTTCATACCATAGAGAAAATGGAGCAATGAACAGTGCTTCATTATAATATCCTGCTTGAAGTAGTTTTTCTAAACAAAACATGGAAAAAATTGCAATGGCGTATTTATCTTTCATTGCGCCGAGTCCACTCTGATCTTCCAATGCATCTCCTAACTTTACGACCTCTTTGAGTTTTTCAGCTTGAATGCGGGAATCTTTATTGAAAGGAATTGCGTAAAGCTCGACATCTTTTCGAATAAAAAATTTTCTGTCTCTTTTTGATAAATGGACGATATCAACACTCCATACTTGATGATGTTCGATGTAATTTTGTGCTATTTGAATCAATTCATCTATATTTTTTGCTTTTTTAAGTTCTTTAATAAATTCTTGTTGTTTTTCTTTATATCCTGGGTCACCATCTGTAAAAATATATGATATTTCAATAAAATAAGATAATTGATCTATAACGGCTTGAATTTTCCCTATAATTGATGAAGCAAATCCATTTTTATAAGGAAGAATGCTAGCGACAAAATTTGGTGCTTCGAAATTCAAAGGAAGTGCAAGGAATACAAATAAATCTTTGATATCTAAACTCTGAAAATTCTTGTCTTTTGATATCACTAATGATTTCAATTCAACAGCATCTAAAGCTATAGCAAAACGTCCTCCATCTGGTATTTGATAGTTCATATATGATAACATTTTGTCTAAACATTCTGGATGTAAAAGAAAATCTTTCATATTATTTATGGGATCTGCAAAATAGTTAAATAAAGTCATTCTTGATGGAAATAAAGAAATAAAACGACGAAGTTGCTCATATGCAGATTCAGATTTAGTTTCTATTAAAAAAGCCAAATCTAATACTATAGGATCATTTTCAAAACGAAAACCATGGGAGCTTTTTGCCATAATATTACCTAAGAGAACATTTATTGTTTGTTTTGTAATTTCAGGAATATAATCTGGCCAAATAATTTCAAAATAGGGTTCATTTGGTTTTTCTACTGTAGAATCGTTTTGTTCTTGTTCTGCTGCCAAAGCGAGCTTAATATTTTGAAGATTTTCCCTTCTTTGTTGTGCAATTTCAGCATCTCTTTCATTTTTAAGTACCTTACAGAATCTTTGAACAGCTAGATTATCACTGAGTATTAATTTTACATTCAATTCTTTAGTTTGGCCAGATTTTAGTTTTTTAATTTCATCATCAGTTGTAACAAAGGCTAATTTGCACTGATTTTGACTGTTTATAGCTTCTACCTGATGCTGGATATTCAAAAAATCATCTACTTTTGCGACTTTGAAGGTGAAAACAACAAACATTTTATAAAATTTCTTAAATTAAATGCAAAATAATTGTTGTAGCTACTGAATAATTTATAGTTTTATTCATTTTCTATAAGCTATAACATATTAAATCAGTAAGTATTGTTTGAGTTACAGGAAGTTTCTTTACATTGATCAAATAATTTAAAATAAATTTTAATAAGAAACTCTTTTTACAGGTTTGAGTAAAATGTAACCTTAAATATGGCCCTTATTGATTGTGTTTGCATTTAATCAAGTTGGTTATGCAACTTAGTAAATCAAGAAAAAAAATAATGGTCGAGATTTGCTAATAATGCTAAAAATGGATAATCATTTGCAACTATTGATCATCAACGTATTATGAACTGTTAAATACAGATCAAAATTCAAGAAAAGATTTAATTTGACTTCTCTTTGTTACTTTGTTAATTAACAACAATAAATTTTGGCTCATGTATAATGTTGTAAGCGCATAGTTCAACAAGATCATTAGGTGCTAATGAAAATTGAATTTTGATTTTACAATTTGGAGTGTTTATCGGTTTTGTATCACTACAGAACATTGATATTTATATTTAGCAACAACCCTTGAGAAATCATTAGTGCAACGTCAAGAAAATCTTCCGCGTTCGCACTAAGGTAATTCAAAATAAAAATTGACAAAAAAAGAAAAAAGAATGTTTGCATTTGAATGAACCTTGAGCTTATTATTATGATTTTCATGAAATAACCATTTAGCTACATTGTAACAGAGCTTTTCAAAAAACTTTATGTATATAATGATTACCCCACCCATGGCATTATGATGATATTTTTCAAATAAATGACTATATTAATAAATACTGCTAAAAAATTTAGGTTATGCTTAGAAACAGACTCAAATTTACTTTTTACAGCAAATTTTTATATTAAATTACTAATATTAAGTGAATTTCTCTATAATATGTTTGGTAAATCATATTAAATACTGTGTATGGTAGGAAATGATAAGCAATCTTAGTATGTATAGAAAATTTGTACATTATTTCATATATCGGTTATTAGAATGACTTAAATGAAATGTTATTACGATCCATCAAATTAAATTGAATATTATCATTCTTTTATATCACTCTCATACTTGAATCAAATGAAATTGAAAAGTAATTGATTTAAAAATTTAACTTTTTGCCTAAAATGTTTTTATTACATAATTACATTAATTGCTTATTGCAATGGAATTGATAAAATATAATAATACTAAAATTTTTTAAAAAATCTGCCATGTAAAGTTTAACGTACAATCTCCTATTTTCTAGATTCAAGTATTGCCTCTATTATGTGTTCATAACTTTAGATATTCTATGACCCTCAACCCAATCTACACTTTCATATGTAACTATTTTTGCAGGGCACTAATTTATTAGAAAAATTTGCAATCCAAATTACCCAGGCAAGCAAAACACAACTTCATTCAATATTTCCGATAGTAAAGATTTCCAACTAAAGATAAATATTTGGTGATATTCTCCCAACAATGCTTACATTTACAAATCCAATATCGATTTCAAAATTGAGCAGACAGATTTACAAATCCATTTATCACATTTGCAAACATCTATACATGAGTAGATATATGCAATTAGAAGCAAATCGGAATTGCCAATTTTTAATTAAAATCTAACTAAGCTTAATTTGAATAAAAACATTTACTATATATGATAATGAAGCATCTTATATCGAAATGAGTTCATAACTCCATTTTTTACTTTAACGCAATTTAATTCTTTCCATTAAGTAGAACTATATATCTAACCATATCCATAAGATACTTTATGAAGTGTTAAACACTTCTCTCGTTTGCATGTTCCTCACCTTGAGGGAGACTCCAAACTTGCTCGATCAGGATTCCTCCAGGGTGTCCAAAAATTTTTAAGGTTAAGAGCTTTACAACATTTATTTTGAGCAAGATGCAATTAGAGTTTCTATTACACAATCAGCATATATGATACATTATATCACATGTTTCATCTGTAAAAATCACTGATTGATTATAAGAGGTAAAATTACATTTAGATGTTCATGAATATCGTTACTTTGCCAATTTAGCGTCATATTATGGTAATATATGACAATGACGTTTTCAATTTTGATAAATATTATTGAAAATTAACTAAATTTATGAAAATTCAAATATATTATTTTGCTTCATCAAATGGAATTCTTAATTAGTGACAAGCATTACTTCTAAGTTTAGTGCTTACTCTATCTCCTGAATATTATCTATTCACACATCATAACCAGAGTGGAGACACTTCTATTGATATTCATAATTTGATATTTCTAGTTAATTCGATCATAATCATATAGAATCATACTTATTTATTTGAAATAAATATGGAGAAATTTTTTCAAATTATAGAACTATTTGAAATACAATAGAGACCAATACTGATATGGATGTATAGGATATCAAAGAGCCTTTATAATAGTAATACTATGATGGACAAATGCTAAAAGTTGACTCAGTTATAATCAAATTTTTGAACTCAGGGATATTAGACCTATTTATAAATAGCAGAGGATTTATAAATATACACCCTTATTTGGAATTTCCAATTAATTGGAAAAACCGTCGTAATTGGAAAAACCGCCCGATTGGAAAAACCGTCGCAATTGGAAATATTGCGAGATTGGAATTTCCAATCTCTCAATTGGAAATTCCAAATAAGTTTTTATTCGGAAATTCCAATTCATTTGGAAATTATAAATAAAGCTTCAATTGTGAATTAGAAATGGAAATTGGAAATATGCCCTATATTATCTTATTAAACAAAAACAAAATTTTTGTTGAATTTAAAATTTGATAAAATAAATGTTGTAAAACTCTTAACCTTAAAAATTTTTGGACACCCTGGAGGAATCCTGATCGAGCAAGTTTGGAGTCTCCCTCAAGGTGAGGAACATGCAAACGAGAGAAGTGTTTAACACTTCATAAAGTATCTTATGGATATGGTTAGATATATAGTTCTACTTAATGGAAAGAATTAAATTGCGTTAAAGTAAAAAATGGAGTTATGAACTCATTTCGATATAAGATGCTTCATTATATATATAGTAAATGTTTTTATTCAAATTAAGCTTAGTTAGATTTTAATTAAAAATTGGCAATTCCGATTTGCTTCTAATTGCATATATCTACTCATGTATAGATGTTTGCAAATGTGATAAATGGATTTGTAAATCTGTCTGCTCAATTTTGAAATCGATATTGGATTTGTAAATGTAAGCATTGTTGGGAGAATATCACCAAATATTTATCTTTAGTTGGAAATCTTTACTATCGGAAATATTGAATGAAGTTGTGTTTTGCTTGCCTGGGTAATTTGGATTGCAAATTTTTCTAATAAATTAGTGCCCTGCAAAAATAGTTACATATGAAAGTGTAGATTGGGTTGAGGGTCATAGAATATCTAAAGTTATGAACACATAATAGAGGCAATACTTGAATCTAGAAAATAGGAGATTGTACGTTAAACTTTACATGGCAGATTTTTTAAAAAATTTTAGTATTATTATATTTTATCAATTCCATTGCAATAAGCAATTAATGTAATTATGTAATAAAAACATTTTAGGCAAAAAGTTAAATTTTTAAATCAATTACTTTTCAATTTCATTTGATTCAAGTATGAGAGTGATATAAAAGAATGATAATATTCAATTTAATTTGATGGATCGTAATAACATTTCATTTAAGTCATTCTAATAACCGATATATGAAATAATGTACAAATTTTCTATACATACTAAGATTGCTTATCATTTCCTACCATACACAGTATTTAATATGATTTACCAAACATATTATAGAGAAATTCACTTAATATTAGTAATTTAATATAAAAATTTGCTGTAAAAAGTAAATTTGAGTCTGTTTCTAAGCATAACCTAAATTTTTTAGCAGTATTTATTAATATAGTCATTTATTTGAAAAATATCATCATAATGCCATGGGTGGGGTAATCATTATATACATAAAGTTTTTTGAAAAGCTCTGTTACAATGTAGCTAAATGGTTATTTCATGAAAATCATAATAATAAGCTCAAGGTTCATTCAAATGCAAACATTCTTTTTTCTTTTTTTGTCAATTTTTATTTTGAATTACCTTAGTGCGAACGCGGAAGATTTTCTTGACGTTGCACTAATGATTTCTCAAGGGTTGTTGCTAAATATAAATATCAATGTTCTGTAGTGATACAAAACCGATAAACACTCCAAATTGTAAAATCAAAATTCAATTTTCATTAGCACCTAATGATCTTGTTGAACTATGCGCTTACAACATTATACATGAGCCAAAATTTATTGTTGTTAATTAACAAAGTAACAAAGAGAAGTCAAATTAAATCTTTTCTTGAATTTTGATCTGTATTTAACAGTTCATAATACGTTGATGATCAATAGTTGCAAATGATTATCCATTTTTAGCATTATTAGCAAATCTCGACCATTATTTTTTTTCTTGATTTACTAAGTTGCATAACCAACTTGATTAAATGCAAACACAATCAATAAGGGCCATATTTAAGGTTACATTTTACTCAAACCTGTAAAAAGAGTTTCTTATTAAAATTTATTTTAAATTATTTGATCAATGTAAAGAAACTTCCTGTAACTCAAACAATACTTACTGATTTAATATGTTATAGCTTATAGAAAATGAATAAAACTATAAATTATTCAGTAGCTACAACAATTATTTTGCATTTAATTTAAGAAATTTTATAAAATGTTTGTTGTTTTCACCTTCAAAGTCGCAAAAGTAGATGATTTTTTGAATATCCAGCATCAGGTAGAAGCTATAAACAGTCAAAATCAGTGCAAATTAGCCTTTGTTACAACTGATGATGAAATTAAAAAAACTAAAATCTGGCCAAACTAAAGAATTGAATGTAAAATTAATACTCAGTGATAATCTAGCTGTTCAAAGATTCTGTAAGGTACTTAAAAATGAAAGAGATGCTGAAATTGCACAACAAAGAAGGGAAAATCTTCAAAATATTAAGCTCGCTTTGGCAGCAGAACAAGAACAAAACGATTCTACAGTAGAAAAACCAAATGAACCCTATTTTGAAATTATTTGGCCAGATTATATTCCTGAAATTACAAAAACAAACAATAAATGTTCTCTTAGGTAATATTATGGCAAAAAGCTCCCATGGTTTTCGTTTTGAAAATGATCCTATAGTATTAGATTTGGCTTTTTTAATAGAAACTAAATCTGAATCTGCATATGAGCAACTTCGTCGTTTTATTTCTTTATTTCCATCAAGAATGACTTTATTTAACTATTTTGCAGATCCCATAAATAATATGAAAGATTTTCTTTTACATCCAGAATGTTTAGACAAAATGTTATCATATATGAACTATCAAATACCAGATGGAGGACGTTTTGCTATAGCTTTAGATGCTGTTGAATGAAATCATTAGTGATATCAAAAGACAAGAATTTTCAGAGTTTAGATATCAAAGATTTATTTGTATTCCTTGCACTTCCTTTGAATTTCGAAGCACCAAATTTTGTCGCTAGCATTCTTCCTTATAAAAATGGATTTGCTTCATCAATTATAGGGAAAATTCAAGCCGTTATAGATCAATTATCTTATTTTATTGAAATATCATATATTTTTACAGATGGTGACCCAGGATATAAAGAAAAACAACAAGAATTTATTAAAGAACTTAAAAAAGCAAAAAATATAGATGAATTGATTCAAATAGCACAAAATTACATCGAACATCATCAAGTATGGAGTGTTGATATCGTCCATTTATCAAAAAGAGACAGAAAATTTTTTATTCGAAAAGATGTCGAGCTTTACGCAATTCCTTTCAATAAAGATTCCCGCATTCAAGCTGAAAAACTCAAAGAGGTCGTAAAGTTAGGAGATGCATTGGAAGATCAGAGTGGACTCGGCGCAATGAAAGATAAATACGCCATTGCAATTTTTTCCATGTTTTGTTTAGAAAAACTACTTCAAGCAGGATATTATAATGAAGCACTGTTCATTGCTCCATTTTCTCTATGGTATGAAAGCATTCGCAACGAAGTTATTAATTTTGACACAAGAATGTTCATGTTGATAACAGCAGTTCATCTTGTAATGTCAATTTTATGTAAGCATGACGAAATGGGAATTAAAAACAATTTCCAAACAGAAGAGAGAGGTGAAATCAATGTGAAGTTCAAATTCATTGCAAACGAGATAATGCTTGAGCAGATGTTAAGAGCTCTTTCGGTGTTCATTGTTGAGTTTAATAGGAATCAAAATTTAAATTTCTCTCACTTAACAACAATGACTGAAGAGCATCTTTTCGGTTTGCTGCGCGTTATGAGTCATTTTAAATATGATTTAGATACGGCTATGACGACATTGGCTCAAACAAATGAAGTTCTTCGGATAAATTTCCAATATGAAATGGAATGGAGAACACCAGGTCGTGATTATCAAACAGGAATTACATTTAATCCAGATAAATGTACTGTAAACATTCCTATCGACATTTCTCCATTTGTAACAGCTAACTCCCTTTTTCTTGCTGCTAACTGGGACATTCCTGATGCTGATGGAATAGAAGTATTCAAGAAGTTTGTGAGTGAAGTTGTTAAAGTCCATTCACCTATCCATATTTCTGCTTACATCTGCAGTCCACTCTCAGGAGTCAATATTACTTCTAGATACAAAGTGGATATAAAAGGCGATGACTCTGAAGAGAGTATACCTATTGTTCATCAAACTCCTCAAATCTTTGTCATGAATCAAACCTCATGATGGACAAACCGGAACTTCATTGTGTTCAGGGAAGAAAACGTACAAAACTTTCTAAAAAGAAAATTAATAGCGCAAAGTTTAAAGACCAAAAAACTCAAGAAGTATGGAAGTTTATTGCTAGGTGTGAAGATGGAATCACCAAAGAAAATATTGTTTATAAAATTCATCTTTTGCATCCTGATGTTTCTGAAGAAGATATTAATAATGAAATTGGAGAAATTTTGAACTCTCTTATTGAAAATTCCTCAATTGAGTATAATTCCATCACAGGTTTATACAATACAGGTGAACTTGCTATTCCAGTGAAGCAATGACTTATTTTTGTCGAAATAAATATATTTTGTAATAAAATTTACCATTTTTTAAAAAAGAAAAAATGATATTCAAAGTAATCGAACCTCACAACTTCAGATAGGGGCATTCTACCACTGAGCTAAATCTAACACGTAAACTTTTTTTAAAACTTCTAGTATAAGATCAGCCCCGGCTCGCATTAGATTTTCTTTGTTTCGCATGTATTTTATATTTTGGTTTAAATTATAGATTTTGTGCATAAATCTACCCTAACTTAGTTATAAAAAATTAATGAATACCGAATTTATTACTTACAAATCTTAAAAACTATGGTTTTTCTAATTTTTTTTAAAAAACATTTTTAAAATTGAATGCGTTTTTCAAGATCTCAAAAACCAGCAGACAGATTCGAAAAAAAATATCAGCCATTTGTTTTAGAATCATCTAATGACCATATCCCCAAAATTAGAAGCAAATCGGAATTGAAAATCTTAGTTTTACAACGTTTGATAAAATGCAATAGTTTTTAAATGTAATATATACTAATTAAATTTTTACATTTACCTATAGTATAATCAAAATACTCTGGTTTTTCCAATTTCAAATTTCTTTTTTCTAATTTCTAAAAGCCCTTATATTTCCAAACATAAGGGTATTCATAAATAAGGTATCTTATTTATAATTTCCAAATGAATTGGAATTTCCAAATAAAAACTTATTTGGAATTTCCAATTGAGAGATTGGAAATTCCAATCTCGCAATATTTCCAATTGCGACGGTTTTTCCAATCGGGCGGTTTTTCCAATTACGACGGTTTTTCCAATTAATTGGAAGTTCCAAATAAGGGTGTATATTTATAAATCCTCTGCTATTTATAAATAGGTCTATTGAAAAAGTAAAAATTTGAGGGTAATACAAACAAAATTTAAAATTAAAGAGCAAAAATATCTACACATATTTTGGCAGCGTTTCTTTCATAAATGGAAAAGTTCTATTATAATATTCATTAAATAATGAGGAATTGCTTCTTTCCAGATCCGAAAGTATTGCAAATAACTCCTTACATATATACTCTAGTTTATTTTCTTCAAAATCAATACTTTCACTATTAATTATCTGATCATCTTCTTTAGAAAAGTTTTACACAAAGAAAATGATAAATCTGCTGAAAGATTTTTCCTGTCATATATTTCAGAATTAAAATCATATTCTTCCTGCGTAAACCTTTCAATTCACTCAAATTTTGAGAGACAAACGCGAAGAATATGATTTCAGAATTAAATTTAAAATTCGATAAAGCAAATTCTTTTTGATAAAATTCTGCAAGGTTTAAATCATACTCTGTGAATTCAAATGATGGTAAAATGAAATAATGATCTTTTTAAACACCTTTTAATAAAGCTAAATGAATAATACAATAAGATTGTATTATTTGTTAATTGCGTTACTTCAATTGCTTTGTTTAAAATCATCAAAACTTCTTCTGATGTAACATAATCTTTATAATTAATTATTTGACAATAAAACTTAAATGCAAAATGAACAAAATCCTCATTATCAATATTTGTTATGTCTTTAATTTGAGAAATTAAAAGAAATAATGAATTATGATTATTTTTGAAAAATCTGGTAAATTTAAAATGGAAATATAACTAGCACATCTAAATAATAATGTTTGGTCTGTAATTGATAATTCATTTATCGAATCTGTATAATTTTGTAAAAAATCTGTAATAAAATCAGGATTTAATTGAGGATCCGTATGTAGTTTGTAATAATTTAGAAGGGACCATGATAATGCAATCGATGATAATGATATTTGGGTAAATTCTGGCCAATTATCTGTAAAAAACAATTTTTGGACAACAATTCGAGATATTTCTAATATTGAAGGAATCATTTCGTATACTTTTGTCTGAAATATATCAATAATCCAAGACTTAAGAATATTTGAAATTGAATCTTGAAAAATTAACTGAATGTTATCGAATAAAATTTGCTTAATTCTTATGACAGCTGCTGTTCGTAGTAATTCATTGTTGTCTGAGTTTGATATTATGTTTAAAAAGCTTATTAAGACTGATTCGTTTAATGGAAGAGATAGAAATTGATTCTGTGCTTCAAATACTTCTTCGTTATCTCCTCTAAATGTATGGAGGAGTAACTCCTCAACATTCATAAACTAAAAAAAGAACAAAATTAAAAAATTGAAATGAATTAGAAAGATGAGTTGTTATCTCGATAACAGCAAATTAACACATAGATCATAATAGAACAAACAGTCCCATGTTTTGTGCTTAATATAATGGTGCTAATCAAATAGGAATTCATTCTTTAATTGCCTAGTTATTAGATGAAATATGACTCCATGAATTTTCATGATTCAATTTTTTTTACAATTTATGACCTTTGATTTAGTTCAAGATAATCCGAACATATCATTAACGAAACCAACTAAATCGGATATTTCTTTTGCTGGATCAAAGGTTATAATTCTAGGAAATCCTGAATTTGGGAAAAATGGAAATGTAGGAGACTCAATTACTGCATTTTCTCAAGTCATTAGTCAGCTTATACAAGAAAATGGATTTTCAGACGTTTTTATATTAGGAAAACTATTCGATTCTCAATTATCTTCTGATTTAAACGAAATTAATCTTTTATCAAACGTTATATCACAAATAAACTGTAAATTTCATATATTACCATCATCACAAGAGCAAAGGAAGATACAACAACTCCCAAATAGCGATATTGATTATATAAAAACTTTAATTGCTTCATTTACCAAAAGAATTGACTCTGGCCCAATTAATTTTTGTTTTACCCACAATATTGGAAATGAAATTGTGATTGCTGAAGATGCCGGATGTAATTTTTTAATGTTTTTAAAAAATTGCTATCGCAATGCAATTGGAGTACAAGATTTTCTAATTAGTTCGTATGTTGATGGTATCTTTGTAGATTTCATGCAAAAAGTGGCATCTACAGGAACATTTCTTGATTCTTCTTCAATAGGATATTTAATCCTAGATTTTCAAGAAACAGTTCAACTAGAAGTAGTTTCTACTATACTTCCAGGTAAATCTCCTCAAAAGAAATCTCAACCAGCAAATGATGATGATTGCTGCTGTAAAATTTGCTAAATTTGTTTGTTTTATTTAACTGAGCTTGTTTATTTTAATTCATTGAGCTCAAAATCATGTAAAAATATGTTTTAATAGTAACTAAGTAATGAATCCAATTTTTATGTGAAATTTTGAATTGCGACTGTGTCAGAAATGTGAAGATTGAATTTTATTGTCGACCTTATATAGGGATGCCGATTTGGAGGGAAAATGAGAAGAATAGGTGACAAAAGTGGTGAACCTTAAAATAACCTTAAACTGCATTTTTTGCAAATTTTGATATTAAGGATGCCCTCACCATGTCAGATTTTTTGTGCATGTAAAACTTTTGATATACTTAAATCTAGAATCTGGTATTCTGCCATATATATTAATTTTTTATAAGCTACTAACTCTAATAATATTTCTGAATAATAATTGTTTTTCACGATAATCAGATTTGATTTATGGCCAAAATCGCACATAATCAAAATATCAATCCGTCACAATTTTTTTAAATTCCAATGATATTCTACCATATTGATTATACGGATACAAATTGAACATTCATGAAGTTATTAGATTAGGAAAATTGAATGAACCCCATTCAATTTTTTTTATTTTCCTCTCAATTTTATAAAGGATATAACTCAAGAACATGTAACATCAGGAATTGTTCAAATATTTGAGTGGAGTCATTCCTTTTTGGATAAAAGCCTGATGGAACGATATTTGAAAAAAGATCTAATATGAAGAAATTCAAAAATCTAATTTTATAAAAATAAAGGTTTATTCAACAGTATGCAAACCACAAAAAATTTGCATGCGAGAGAAAATTCTGGCATCAATGCTAGTAAACAATAACTATTATTCTGACCTCTGGATTTTTTTGAAAAAACGCGACAGACTTACCATCATGTTTTTTTGCATATTTGAAATGTGTATATAGTATATAATATGAGTTTCATCCTGTTTTTTTTCCCGATGAGTTTGTAAAATTTGATCAATCAAATATATTAATTTTTCACCAATGAAATACAATATTTTATAATTCAACATAAATCCATTGGTATCAACTCGATTATTTTAGAAATATAAGTATGATTGCATATTGATCTAACAATTCATGGAAAAATCTCTGGATTTTTGGTACACAGCTTTACAATATGGTACCTAAACTAGGCCGAACAACATAGTTTACAAAAGACATTGCTGTGTCCCATATCTTGCTTTGTTTGGAAATTGTAAACGGCAATCCAAAAAAGTGCTGTGCATTCTAGTGTAAGTAGAGAAATTTTCATAATTATTGTGAAATAATAATATTTACTTGCAACTCATGTTTATTTTAGTAGAAATAAGGGGAAATATTATTCTGTTTTTAAATTTTTACACTTTTGAATACTCTTCAGAATTTCTTTGAAAATTTAAAACTCATTCAACTCGACATAGAAAGCGATCTAGAGCCCCAAAGTTTTACTACAATAATAATCATATATTTCAAGTATTTTTATGGAATGTAAGGGCATCCTTAACCTTAATTTATACTTTTTTAAAAAATTCTAAACCTTAAGGTTTAATAGAATGTTTAGTTAATAATGATACATTAGCAGTAAATAAACTCTTTAAAGCAAGATCGTCCTGACGATTTGATTGAATTCGATTTCAATTCAGATTTGACAGAGTTTACAGTGATCTATGCACCATTCTCTGCTAAGGAGTTGGTTCATTCCATTGAAAACCCATTGCATGTTGATGCAACTCACTCACTAATTTGCGTAGAGTTCAACTTTATGCAATTAAAATGAAGACAATTCATGGAACAATTTTTCCTTTTTGTTACTTCGTTGTACAACCGCAAACTGCAGAAAAAATTCAGTTGTGTCTTGTCAAATTTTGTCAGTTTGCTCATTTTGACCCAAAATATTGGAGCGCTGATTACGCGTTAAACATTGCGATGGCAATAGAAGATGGTTTCCCACTCGCAAATTGATGCTGGTGTGCGGTTCATATCCTTCGTGCAAATGCAAAAGTTTCAAATCTTTTTGAAAGAACAGAAAATTTTGAAAACTTTTACCTTGCAATGGATTTTTTGACACTTCGTGTCGATAACTCCGATCCAGAAAAGCTTGCGAATGAATCAAATGAAACATATGACTTCATCACATCCATTGCCGAAGAAGAGGAACCACGAGCTTTAGCCTACTTTGATAGGCAGTGGTGCCGCACAAAGGAACATTCGATGAAGCTCTATCGCGATGAAGGAGATGCGACGAATAATGTTTCCGAATCGCATTTTCATCAAATCAAGCAGACGTTCGTTTTAGGAAAGAAGAATGAACGTATTGATGATATTTTCATTACTTTAGTTACGGTTGTGATTCCAAATTTCACTTTAAAGGTTCAAATATCAAACGCCTTGCATGAAGAAAGGTACGTCCGTATTTTGAGCAGAGCAGGAAACCAAATTGTTGAACAAAGAGCGTCGAAATTTGAAGAATGCATGAATCTAATTAATCAGATTAAAAAACTTCTTCAGATTGAAAGAGTTGAACCAAATGTTGTCCTTCCATCATTAAAGGCAGTTGCTAATTTGGCAGAAAGAAATGTCATTGAAGAATGAAATATTTCTAAATAATTTTGAAAAAATTGTAGAATAAACGCTAAATATATTAAGGAGTATTTGCTTTTTTATTGCGTATTATAGTTAGTATACAAGTCTTGGGTATGGTGGCACTGCGTTCCACTTTACCCAATACTTGTGAATTTGACACTTTACAAAACCGTTAACGTATATTTTACAACACAAACGACAACACAAACGACAACACTAACTTAACCTTAAATATTTACAAAACCACCAACCACTTCACTAACGAACTCACTAATGTAAAAATAAACGTTCTCACTATCGTTCTCACTAACAACTTCACTAATGTTCTCATAAATTTTCCTCAATATCTTCATCATCAGTGTTAACCCTATTGTAGTCATACTTGAAGCCATAAACTTTCTCTAACTTCTTAACGTACAATTTACATAACTTACCTTCGTCATCGTATGGTTTAATGATATAACTATTTCTATCTTTATAAACAGTCAATGAAAAGTCAACTGGTCTCGGATGTATTTGAAAGAACATGTTATGCTCAGGAAGGAAGAATAAATGTTTAAATGTATGTTTGTTATATGTTTTGATTTGTATGAGTTGCTTTTGTTCTGTCATTACATCCAAATAAAATAAAAATAAAATAAAAAATAAACTTAAAAATTAATGATATCACCACCCGCACACGTATGAAAACATAGCACAAAAATAATGTTTATGTTAGAATGTTAGATCTAACACGTTTTCTAACCTCTTTTCTAACCTGTTGAATTCATTGCTTTATAACTCTCTTCCTTGGTTTCTTTTTAGTTGCTTTCTTCACGTCTGTCTCCAACTTGACTGTCTTTCTTCTTCGTCCGTAATGATACCAGTTACTTCCACCAGTCAATGGGTCAAATGGTCTTTCGTAAGGATTTCCATACATTCCATAGGGACCATACGGAAGAACTACTGGTGGAGAAGAAACATTTTCTTTAGTTCCATCGAATCTATTTAAATGCATTGTTTCACCTTTCATCTGGTCATTAAAGTCTTTTGCGTGTTTTGCAAACTCATCGTCCTTTCCTAAAGCATTTTCTGACTCAGTCGCAACCAAATTGGATGCTTTATTTATGAGCCCTATTTTATTTAATCTTAACTTCTTTGCAACCCAGCCTCCAATCTTCCCTTTATTTGCATCTAATGTCTTCGAAACCCTTCCTCCACTCATTTTATTTACTGCGTCATAAGCCCCAAGTGCTTTTGCTCCAAATGCTAATGCTTTTGTTCCCATTGCGCCTAAAGCTGTCCAAGCTACCATTTACACCATATTAAAATCATCTCTCTTCAATATTATCTCATAAAAGTTCTCGTTACTGGAGAAAGTCAATGAAACATAAACATTCTCATTCATAAACTTCTTTCTTATCTCATCTATACGCTTCAAAATGTCTGAACAATTGCTAACATCTTCTACAACAGTTATTTCATCATGAATGACCTTCAAGAACAAGCTCATTTAATATGCTATTAAAATCATCTCAATAATGAGTCCATCCTTTCCATCTTTAGGTAGCACAACATCTTTCATTGAAGAAGGTTCGACAAGTCTTATGTTAAACTTACTGACAAAGTTTGTTATACTATAATGCTTCGGTGGCGAATACATGTAGTTTGAAAGACATAATATAGATTCTTCAGCAAATTCACTTATACTGGATTTTATAACAATGTTCTCACGAGACCAAATACCACCAATTGACAATCTTGTAAGCAATCCTGCTGAACCTTCTACTGTAAACGTCGATGGTAACATTCCACGAAGGTCATCTATTGACATCTTTGAGTCACTGAATTTAAATATTTTCTTAAAGCAATCGTCATTATCTAACCATGCAATAGCTTTGGAGTTTTCATTCGAATATACATCTGCTTCATTAAATGTAAAACCTGACTTCTTTGCAGAGACGACTTTAAAATCTATTGCATTTGTTTCAAAATTATATACTATGGTAACTTCTGAAGGTAATGGATGTCCTTCCGCAGTCAGTTGTTCTCTCACTACCGTTTGAAGCTTTGTGTTAAAAACTTTCATGTCATCTCCTGTGTCTAGGTTCACATACACAGCAACAGGAAAACTATCTTGCTTCTTTGTTTCATCATTATACCTCAAAACATTAAAGTTCTTCAATAATATTGTTCTTCCTGCTGGAATACTTCTAACTTGTCTTATTTCAATAGCTTTCTCACCTCCTACATACTCTACCCAGTGTCTTGGATATTCATAAGTATACTGACTTTCTTGAATTTTGGTAGGTTTCATCATAACGTGTTCATAGTATATCTTTATACTCTTGTCAGTTAGACTCGGTGCTATGTTCTGAATATTTCTGACTTGCATTTTTAATGAAGATAAAATGAAGCATTTAATACATGACGTAGATGAAGACATGAA